TTCGGTATCGGGAAGAGGATGTGCATCGGTCGACGGCTGGCGGAGCTGCAGCTGCAGCTGGCCATGTGCTGGGTATGGTCTCCATTAGCAACATCAAACCAGTCAGCCACAGATTATTCTAAAAAAAAGATTTCCGCCCTTGATGCATTTGTGTTTTTTTCTTTATCGCAGTTGGTCAGAGACTACGAGATCGTGGCAACAGACAATGAGCCCGTTGATGTGATTCATTCTGGACTTTTGGTTCCTAACAGAGAACTGCCAGTAGCCTTTGTCAGGAGATAAGGTGAGAAGAAAAAAGTTTACATTTCAATGAGCTCTACCAGTTCATTGAACTCAAACTGCTGTGTAATGCATAAAGCAATTGGGAAGTCAGAAGGATCACCCCTGTTTCTCAAGGGGTCAAAACTTTAACTTAACAAGGAAACATGTAAAATGATAGATATTTCAATAATTCTCAAGCTTAAAATATTGTAACCATTTTCTGCTGCTCTACCCTTGGAAAAAAACTTTGAGAGTCTATGTCAAAATCGAAAGTAATCCAAGTTTTTGCATAAGGGCTGCAGGGGCGTGCTTCAGTGTGCAGTACCTATTATTGGCCACCAGGTGCTGACATCAACACCTCACTAGCTTACTTATTGCAAAAAGGATGTTAAAATTAATACTTTAAAGATCTGTAGGAATGATACAGACCTAATTTTACAATGATTTTCTTTTCAGTGTAAAACTGAAAGGAAAATCTGGAAAACATTTTTTTGTTTGTTTGTTTTGTTTTGGTTTTAATTTGCCAATAATGCCTTTCTTTTATTTCTCTGTTTAGGCCTTATGCTCTTCTCCTCTGGACGTAACAAAAGAAATATTTTACTCCTGATGGTCCAGTGACTCCCTGCATTGCTGCTGTGTACATAAAAACAGAAATATGTGTAATTTTGTGCCATAAATACCTCAAACTTATTTAAAACTAATATGTAAACCTGTTAAAGACATGAAGAACAGTTGTAATTTAGAGACTGAATGTTGTATCAAGGCAGCTGTCCTGAAATGTCTGACATTTAGATACTGATTACTTTATACTATTCTCTGTTTTTAACTTTATATATGAATATATATGTATGTATATGTGTCATCCCTAATGTGTATTTTCTTATTTTTTTTGTATATATCAGTGCAGGTATACTTCTCCTATATCTCCATATATTGAAAATATTTCATTCATCTAAATAAATCCATTTTAAAAATATCAAAAGACTCTTGATTTTTAAACTTGTAATTTGAAGTGAAATTATCTTGGTCTTATAGCATCTTCAAGGATGAAACTAAATAAAGAGATTACAGTTTTGTATTTGAGTACCAAAACCTTTAGGCAATATTAGAAAGCAAATCTGTAGTGAATAAATGTAAATATTATTTATCTCAGAACAAACATACTGAATGACAAGACAATGAAAGCAATCAGTAACAGTTATGTGCTTGTATTTATTGGATATTTGATAAGGTGTAGTTAAGAATAAAGTATCAGTGTGGATAAAAAGGGGAAAAAAATTGTTTTTTAACATAAAATGGTCTGAAAAACAAAAATACCCAAAGAGACTCTTTATATCTTTCCGCAACACAGCATCAATGATTTAGTCTTGATTTCATCCACAATCTCCACATTGTAGGGTAAGAATGCATTGATCATTCCTGCTGTGCATCAATAGTTCAGGCCACTGCTAGTGGCATGTTAGTGTGCTGAGAAGTGCAGCCAACAAATCAGCAGCAACTTGACCAGAATCTTAGAAGAATGTTTCTGACTCCTGGCTGAATCAAAGAATTAGGTCAGATTTGATGGACAAACTGGGTACAACTCTGCATTGGCAAGATAAACCACAGAAAGAAATCAATCAATTAATCTGGATCTACAGCAATTTAAAGTAAAAAAAAAAAAAACTCAGATGAAAAACATAAAACACACAGTAAAACGTCAAGCAATGTGTCCCAGACTGGTACTTCTTCTTTAGATATTGTGGTAACCTTTATCTGACAGCAGCAGTTCAAAAGGTTTGATGGAGACGATGATGAAGAGTTTTACTGAAACAGTTTCCATACAGATTATGGGTGAGCATGAGGACATTCCAATGACCTTCTCATCTCATGTCACTATTATCTGCAGGGCCACAATTGTGTGCACAAACAAGGAATTTGAAAACTGAAGTCAAATTCCTTGTTTGTGCGCTCACTCTTGGCCAATGAAGCTCATTCTGATTCTGATAACAGGTTGGAAAGCAGTAGATGAAGAACACAACCATCCAGGGACTCAGTGGTCAGAGGGATGAAGTTAAGATGGAGATTTCTCTTAGGAAGTTCAGCATCTAGAGACAAGTCACAGTTTTCACATTAGACTTTTCACTCTCAGTCTCAGGGGAAATAAGAGGGAATTATGATCATAATTCCATTTGAAAAGTATGTAAAACCTTGGCTGATTTACTTATACAATTATTTTTCATTCAAGAAAGAAGTTTGTTTCCAACAGGAAATTATATCAAAATTTCTCAAAAGATAGGAAAACAGGATAAAAGGTGATAAAAGGTGATCTTTTTTTATTTACATTATGCAAATTCTCGGTAATCAAAAGAAAAGTCCTTGTCAGGATCACAGCAATCAAACACTTCTTATATTTCCATTGAGTTTTTTGGAGATTTCCACTGAGATTTTGATGGTTTGTCTTAGTTGATGATCTTCAAGTCTGTGAGGTTGACACATGTTATGTCGTCACTCTAATCTTGCAGAGATTAGAGTGATTAGAGACTAGAGACATGTTAATATCACCTGCAGTCAGCACTCTGTTGATAAAATTAGATTAGTTTAGGCAAGGAAACTTTATTAGCACCTTTCAGCCAAAGACAATTCAATGTGCTTGTTCAAGAAAGTAGAAAACAACATACAAGTAATAAAAAAATAATAAAAAATCAAGCAGATTAAAAATAGACAAAGTAAACATTCAAATTTTAAATAAACCTAAATATGTAAGTGGTATGATTCTGGTCTTAACTGTAGATTATATCTCAGAAGAGGGAGTACTTTGTGCACCCTGGTGCAGTCATTTTGTCACACATTGTTCATAGAGACTGGTTTTTTGATGAGTTGACCTGAATAGACCTTCTAAAACAGGAAAAAAATAATAACTTTTACACAGAAATCATCCAAGCAAAATTGTCCCACCATCTGTGGGTAATAGATGCACCTCTTTTTGAAACCCACTTTTTTCTGCACACAATTTTTTCCACAGTGGATTATCCTCTAGATTTAGAATCCAGTATTGCATTGCAAGACAATATAGTGAGGAGTTAAGAAAGAGAGCTACAACATCCTCTTTTCTGTAGCTGGCATCTCTTTACTGTAGTTAACATCTTCGAACACAGTAGCTTGCAGCTTGAACTCAAATAACTTGTTGATGAAAAGCAAACTGACTTTGATTTGCATATTTTTTTCACTAGAAACTATCTGAATGTCTCCATGAAATTGCAGCTCAAGGTTATTTATTTCAGATGTATTTCAAAGAGGAATAAATAATTAACATAGAGTTCACTTATAAAAATACATGTTGTTTTGTGTTCTTTAAAAATATACTTTTTAATTGATTAAATCTTTAAAGTGGGCTTGAGAATCTTATTGGTTCTTCCGTTGGTGAAACTGAACGTAAGGCATAGTGAAGGAAGATCTCCCTGGTTTTACAAGTCCAGAGGTTTCACCAGAACCAAATGAACAGCAAAATTGTCACAGTGTTTCACAAGTTTCTTGTAATTGGAAAGTTGCAGGATTAGATTCACAGATTGAACCGGAGCCCTCTGGCAAGGCCTCAAAGAACTTATATAAATGTGTGTTTGTGAGTATACAGCACTTGGAACATTAGACAGAAATGCTATTATGTTTTCATCACGTTTTAAACCATACTTGATATTTCACCCTTAGTCCTGAGGTACTATAAATTCAGATTAACTGTACTCAGTTAATCCTAAAATCTTAAAAAATAAGCTAAACACAGTCTGTTCTCACGGCACACTGGATAGCTGACCTTTCACTAAGAAAGTGAGTTATGAGTTCAGGAGCTTAAACGTCATGTTTCTACTTTTGGTACAAAATGTACTGAGTGTAAATAATCAATTATAACGCAAAGAGAAAAACGAACAAAGGGTGAATACAGTGAATCCCAGGATTTTAACATTTAAAAGCCCAAGTAATTTCAAGTGTTGATCTGTACGAGCACAGACACCATATCCAAACATCTCCATGTAAAGTGTGTGATGTTGTAAGTAGACAACTAGAGATAGGAAGCTGCTACGCATGACTGTCCAAGGAGGAGCGTAAAATAAATTAGCCAAACGTCCACAAAGTTGTTATAGCATCTATAAATGGCAAAGGATGGATGGATGGATGGATGGATGGATGGATGGATGGATGGATGGATGGATGGATGGATGGATGGATGGATGGATGGATGGATGGATGGATGGATGGATGGATGGATGGATGGATGGATGGATGGATGGATGGATGACAACTTGAGCGCTTGATTACAGTTGTGCAATACTGCCACTTAGTGGACAAATCCTGCAAGCATCAGATAATCTTAAAACATCTTTCGAATATTGTATATTAATTCAAGTATGTATTTAATTATATGGCAGGTTGGGTATTTTAATAAATATTTTATGACAAGATCCAACAATTCAAAGAAATACAAACTTGTTTGATCTTACAGTAAAGAAGGGAAATGATAAGTTGAAAATGTCAGCAGTGATCTAGTAAGTAAAATGACGTTATTTCTACACATCATTTTTAGCTGTGCAGCGGATAGGAATGCATAAGAAAATCTCTCATTTGAAACAAGTTAGTTTTTTTTTATTTTAGGTTTCTGAGCTCATACAGGAAGAGATGGCGCATGTTTGCAGTAGCGCGCACACAGGTCCGCACCTTGTTTGCCTCTCATCATCACCGCTGACAGGAAGAAGCGCTCTATCGACTCTTGTTGGTGGTTTTATTTGAGCAGCCGCTAATATTTTGGGCGGATCTTACCATAGCTGTGACTCGGCTTCCTTTCTTTTTCTACAACTTCATTGCGCACAACTTTTCAAAAGTCGAGATTGCTGGAAAGGACTGATAGAAGTGAATCACTGAAAGCTGGAGATGACTTCTGGAGGAATGGGGTTGGAGGGTTTGGGGCAGGACATAAGCCAAGCGGAGTTAGACTTTTCGGATCTGTTTCTCTACAACACACCCGGAGAAGATTTCCCCGTTGGCTGCGTGAAAGGTGAGTATTTGTTTCAATCAGTAAGCCTTCAACGTTATGTCAGTTAATTCATTCATTTTTTACCGAATTATGCCTGCCATAAAACCATACTGTTCATTCAATTATGTGTTGCTTTTATTTTATAGTTTCCCTAACGAACTTTTGGGCAACAAGTTTAGTTAGTACAACTTTTTTCCAGTTATTCTCTGGTGTAGTTATAACAGATAAATGAAATCATAGCACAACCAAATTGTGAGAGGCAGGTCTTAGTTTTGCATGTGGCTTGCACACTGTGTCCTGGAGATGAGTTTTATTTGCAGGTCACAATGAAAATGAACTCCCATGTGATAGCAAAGTAACACTGTCGTTATAAATAGGGCTATTCTTGACTTACTAAATCCTTTGTTTTGTTGCTAACAGATGACTCAGGTGCTCTCCTTCAGAATGACAGCCAGCCTCCCTTGCTGGTGGTTGATCATCACACCGCAAATGTCTCCACCTTGGCCCATCCAGATTGCAGCCAGGACAACTTCCCTCAAAGTCCCACCTCAGACAACCTGCCAGGGGCCGGGTTTGAGTGTCTGGAGCTGACATCAGGAGCCAGTAATATCCCTGCCCCGAGCCCCAGGATTGAGATCACTCCATCGGGTGATTCTCTCAGCTCTCACACCCTGGAGCCAAGCCCTGGCTCTAAAGCTCTGGGTGCATACAGGGATTGTGTGAGCCCCGCTAGCAGTAACTCCTCTTCAGGCTGGCTGGCGGATATTGGCTCTCCCTTGAACTCACCCAGTGTCTCCCCTCCAAACGCCAGCAACTACAGCATCTCCTCCTCTGCCTTAGACCTGTGCCCAGGTTTGCAGGGGATCCATACTTCCTCTGCACACTCCTCTCCTCGCAACAGTATCACGGATGAGACCTTCCTGCAGCCGATTCACCAGCGCTCAACCTCTCCGCTTCCCCACCAGCGTTCCCGCTCCACCTCACCACAAGGCAAACGCTGTTTTGACCAGACCCACCCCTGCCAGGGGGGTACGCCAATCAAGCAGCGCTCCCGGAGCCCCAGTCCCAACCCGTCACCCCACGAGCCCTACTTCATCCACCAATATCAGGCCCAAGCGGAGTTTCAGTCCCATGTTCAGACAGCACCACAGGCCCTGGAGGAAGTGCTCAAAAACCTCAGTTCAGGTTTGCCTAGAGTTGGAGCTCCTAAAGGGGTGGGAGCCACTCACCCACAGCCCCCGAGACAGGACTGTGTTTATGGAGACATGTATGACTGGGCCATTGATCATGAGAGGATGGGCAGGTCTGGAGCTGAGGTGAAATCTGAGCCCTTCTACATTCTCCCATCTGGGTGGGCTCCCCCTCAGCCTGTACATCAACCCACACCATGCACATTCAGGTTTAAACTCTTTTCTTAATTAAAATAAAATATATATTTTTATTACATATCAGAATGCCTGATATGCTAGATGCTTTGCAAATGTTTGCAATAAATGTTTTCATTTTATTCCCTCAGTGGTCTCTCTGTAGCACCACTCCCATCCTTGGAGTGGGCACTGCCCAGTCAGTCCGGCCAATACGAGCTTCTGATCCAGCAGCAACCCAGATCCCACCATAGAGCTCACTACGAGACTGAGGGCAGCCGAGGAGCAGTCAAGACACCCAATGGAGGCCATCCTGAAGTTCAGGTGTGTACGACCAAGTAAAACTCAAGAATAAGAAGCTGAGATTCCATTGACCGTATAATTGTACAAATAGAAATTACAAAAAATACATTTGCTTAATGGAGACATGCCAATTTCAAAATAACTTTTATTGATAAAAAGTTTTTGTGCCAGGATGTGGTGGTTTTTTTAGCTGTTTCAAGATTTGTATATTTCACAAAACTACAATGGAAACTGTTTTTGTGCATCATGAGATCAATAACCAGATGTTACTACTGGTGGAAAAGATGAAGAAGATGATAAGAAGTGGTCGGAGAATTATGGTGTGGCATATCACATAACATCTTATTCATATGTGTGATAATTACATTTTTTCATTTTATGAAAACGCCACAATTGCGAATTTTTTTTTTTTTTTTTTTACATTATCAAAATATCAACAAAGTTTTGTGCATGTTTGTAATGAAAACCCATCTACTGAGAAACGAATAGGCTTCTCGCTTTACAGATTACTAAGAGAAAAGCATGAGAATAAGGAAGAGATTATATATGTGGGGTGATATTTCCTGGTTTGGTGTTCATGTAGAGCTAACAGCCATGCAAATAAAGAAATAGTCCCTGCTTCCATCAGTGATGGTGTTTAAGCCATGCTTTGTTCCAGCGTGCTAAAGTGAAAGTTGTTCAGACAACAAATATGTTAGCATGATAGACAAATATTGATTGACAGTTTTTGCTTACTGAGTTGAAATAATGGCTAACTGCTGGTTTTCCCAGCAATGCTGCCCAGTACTATGCAAAGCAGTTCTGAATCCTTCTACAAAGAGTAATTCTTTGCTGCAACAGCATGTCAGGTGGCTTGAATTTAGCATAAAGCATGTGGGTAATTTCTTGTGTTGCCTTCCTAAGCTTCGGGGATACCAAGGCACAATTCCGCTGGGGCTGCAGGTCTTCATTGGGACAGCGGATGAGAAGCTTCTGAAACCGCACGCCTTTTACCAGGTCCACCGCATCACTGGGAAGACCGTCACCACGCCAAGCCTGGAAAGGATGATCAGTGGGACAAAGGTTTTGGAGATCCTTCTGGAGCCAAAGAGCCACATGAGAGTGGTGTGAGTAAAGTTGTTTTTAAAGCAAAAATGAGAAAGTTCACTCTTAGACTTACAAGTCTTGGTATGGTAGTAACACATTATTGCAATACAGTTGTGTGTGACCTCATTCTTTTTAAGTGAATCTGCAAACACCACTGTGCAGTGTCTCTGCATACCTAACACTGCTACAGATGAAGAGATACAGCAGAGTAGTTTGGTTTGTTTTTTTCTGACTTTTTATTCCAATGAACGCTCAGATCGTTCTGTAAAATCAGTCACAAAAAGCCTGGTAACTTGGGAGAGTGTCAAGGTTTTTTCAACGTTTTTCACTCCAAAATGATGCTGCTGTTACTGCTGACGGAAACAAGAAACGCATCACTTCCTGTGTGTTGGAGAGTTTTTCCAAGAAACACCTATCATACTGCAGTGGCAGAAATGTCTGATGAGTCACAAAAAAATTGTGGCAAAAAGGCATTTTGAACAACAAAACTAGGTCAGGGACGTGTTTATTCTGCACAAGGGGCAAATTGCTGTAAGGGAAGCACAAACCACAGAATCACCAAAATGCACAAAAATAAACAGTATACATAAATAAAAGAAAAACTTGTAAAACAGGTGTGAATAAACAAATTATTCTTAAAAATATTGCAACTATTACCAAGATTGGGCTCAACAAAAGAAAAGAATGGATTAAAAACATTTTCATCCAAAACATCTGGCAGTTAGCATTTTTTCCCCATCTGTGTTTGTTCAGGATTGACTGCGTTGGCATTCTGAAGTTAAGAAATGCTGACATTGAGTTGCGGAACGGCGAGACGGACATCGGACGGAAGAACACGCGCGTTCGTTTGGTGTTTCGTGTCCACATCCCTGAACCTGGAGGCCATTTTGTCTCTCTTCAAGTTGCTTCCAACCCCATCGAATGCTGTAAGATGTGCAAAAATTACATTAGATGATTACTGTTAGTGCTGGTGGTGATGGAGCTGTGTTCATGTTGTCTGCAGCTCAGCGCTCGGCGCAGGAGTTCCCTGCGGTCGAGAGGCAGGACCTGGACCGCAGCTCCGTACTTGGCGGTCAGCAGATGGTCCTAACTGGACAGAATTTCACATCTGACTCCAAAGTGATATTTTCTGAAAAGACCCAAGGTGAGAGCTTCTTCTGTAAGCCAGTAAATGTTTTCCCAATGACAAGATAAATAACAAATTGCATGGAATATGTACAGAATTTTATGACATAAATGGATGTGTTTGTTTATAAATAAATATATATCAACTCTTGTGGTTCAAAGTGTGAGCCACAAAATGTGATCAAGTTTATAAGAAGGGTTCAACATTAATTTCACAACGTGGTAAAGATACATTAGTCACTGAACAGAATTTTAGCGTTCTATTTCCTGAAGAATGCTCCCCGAGTTATAAATGAAAATTTGTGTAAGAATCGGGGTGTGGTTGTAGAGGGAATTGGGTGAAGTCATATTATCTATTATCTTGCATTTTATATTTGGTTGTGCTTACTCTTATTAATAACCTGAATAACAGAGTGTTTCCCGAAATCTAGAAAAGCCGGTTTAACACAAAAAGTGGTGGGCGTTACAAAGTTTCTCGATGTGTGTTGACCTCCAATTCTCACCTGGTTATTTTTGGCTTTAGAACTACTGGTGCGACTAAAATAGACTAATAATCATAATCTGTGGCGTTGCAGTATTCTGCCTGAGGGTGCCCACCCACACCTGTAGTATCTTTATTTTCAGATTATTTGCATATCACCTGGGAAACATCACCTTTGGGTGACGCACATCCACCTCCAGCCCACACTTTTAGCTTTGACAAAGCAAAGGCGCATTTTCAAACTATTACATTTTGCATTGCAAGTGAAAACTCCTATTTATGTCTAAATGGAACTTTATCACCTCTTTGGCGCTCCTGCTGCCCACACAAATTTGCCTGGCTGCTTGGGTTAAGAGCTGGATAGGTACAGTCGGCAGCATGTAAAGCTTCACTGTTGCTTGGCGTAGGGTTTTGTGCAACAGGATGTGGTTAGACAGGCTGATAAAGATTTAGACCTAGAGCAGAGGCTTTGTTTTTTTTCTTTTTCTTTTTCACTGCGTGGGCTGCACAGAGACACAGAGGTAAAAACAGAAGTGGGAATGTGACTCTTAATCAGACAATACTCTGTTTTCCAGTGCTTATAAACAAATATGACTACAAATTCAACTTTCCCTCGCTTTTTATATAGTTTTAGTTTTTACTTACACGTTTTGTATCAATGAGATGAGTCAAAAATGTATTCATTTTAGATATATAAAGTTGCTTTTGTAGTTATTTTTTATTTATTTATTTTTTTACATTTTCACAGAGGCAGGTTTGTTTTATGTTTCTACTAACCACATAAAGTAAAACGCTACTAAAATCTAAGCATTACATTTCTTGATGTTCTTATCTAATGTCTGGCAGCAAAGCTTTTACAGTGTAAAAGTTTTAAAGCCTTTTCTATACATTTTCACACCAAGGATTGAGACTTAATGTTTCCAGAAAAAAAAATTATAGCTCTGCTTGGTTCTTTCAGGTTTCTCGAAAAAGACGGAGGAACCAATGTTATACCAATAACATTGTGTTTTATACATTTTAAAAATATAATTAAGCAAATTGTGTCTTTTTCAATGGCTGTAAAAGTGCCCAAAGATTCTTTTCTTAGGTTTTGTCATTCATTGACAGCTCTGATTCATCCCGTACGTTTAGGAGCATTTCTAAGACTAAAAGGTTCATAAGTCAGAGTAAAAAGGCTAAAAACGGCAACAAATCAGATCGTTATTTAAAATTGATTATGTGAAGTGAAAACAAGGGGGAAAAAAACAAAAATACTGTTGATCAAGACAACATTCTAATTTTCTGGGATTCAAAATCAAAATATAAAGAAGCAAGGGGTAATTTGACATGATTGACCAATACTATGTTGATTTATACTGACAAAATGAAAAACAAATGATTGATGGGTGATATGATTGATAAAACTGTTTTTCTCTCTTCTTTTAGATGGTCAGCAAATCTGGGAGGTGGAAGCCACTGTGGACAGAGACAAAACCCAAGCTGTAAGACAGCCAACTTGCTGGTTTTGACACATAAACTGTCATGTATATGCAAGTAAACGTTTGTCGGCAGGCTTGGTAAAGATGGGCAAAAAGCCTTCAAATAAATTTATCTTTAACCACAGTAGAAATGCCCGGGTAGTTTTATTCACTGATGGTACCGTTTCTGTAACAAAACAATTGATTTGACAAAAAGCAACTGAAGTTATTTTATTTCAGTCACATATAAATAACTATAAGTGGTAATCCAGGTCTTTCGACATTCTCAAAGTTCTACTCATCTGATTCATTTTGCTTTTATTTTCCTAGAATATGCTGTTTGTTGAGGTTCCTCCTTATCGAGACCGAAACATTTGCCAGCCGGCCAAAGTCAACTTCTATGTCATCAACGGAAAGAAGAAGCGCAGTCAGCCTCAGCATTTCATCTACACTCCTGTGATAGGTGAGTAACTGTCAGTTTTTTCAGCTTTCACATTAGGAGAAACAGGTTCATCTGCATGTTTATCACCAAAACATGTTAGATTATGACCAGCTGAAGCTCAGACAGGGTGATGGCATGAGACTTGCCTCAGAAGGCTGATATTAAATATTAAATATAATAAAATGACATAACATTTCATTTATGACCTGATATCATAATTAGAATAAAATGTTTGTTTTGAAGTGGCTTAAAACAAACAATGTTGGTCAATTATACACTTCTCTTATTAAGTCAAGAGCAATACAGGAAATTGCAGAACTTTGCACAGATATACTGAAATAGCTTCGATCTAAAAATAAGTAGATGGAGTTAACATCCAGAGATCTGATAACGACCTGATCAATTGAACAGTTTGAGCTTGCAGCAGCAAGCAGTAGACAGAATAAACATTTTATATTAGAGAGAAAAGATAACCCTAAAGGGGAAAATATGTCACTCCACTGCTGAAAAGCATTTTACAAATTGTCATCCTCCCATTAATTTATGATACACATTTGGCACAGACTAAACGGCGTGAATTTATATACATACTCACATCTTTTGTGGAGTTACTGGAACTGTTTCCTTGGAGGAAAATGTTTTCTTACATTTCAGGGATCCCCATTTTATTAAACAAGAATTTAAACTGCTGCCATGTCTTGTTTATTAATTTGCTTTGATTTTTAATTAAATGTTTTTTTGTCTGTTTGTTTGTTTTTTTTCTTATTATACTGATTATGAGAGAAGTATTAACGTGACAAAATATCCTGAATCACTGATAGGAATATTTTGCCTAAAGTGATCTCAAACAGCCCATATCTACATTTTTCAGACTAATAAATCTAACATAATATAATATATGGAAGAACTTTCCTTTCTTAGAAATTTTATATAAAGATATCACTCATTTGTGACATACATTTCTTATTTTTTGTAGAAAGACATAGTTATTATGGAGTGAAATTACCTAAGTCATTTTGTATCATCAGTGTTGACTCAGTCTTAAACCAAGTACACGTTAACTTTTTTGCCAGTAAAACACTGACCTCAATTTTAAGTTACAGAAGTTGATGCTTGATGTTATGCACATGTTCATGACCTACTGTGGCTAAAAACAGCCCTGATGAGACTGTATGTTGTCACAGCTGTAGCCTCTCTGTCATGCTCGCTTATGCTAAGCAGTGTTGTGATGCCAGCAGGACATTTTCATGTGTCAAATTGTCTTTATTTTCTAGCAATCAAAGCAGAGCCTCGAGATGACTACCATCTGGATTCATACAACTGCTCAGACAATCATCACCTGTCTGCTATTTCAATGAAGTCCCTTTACCATCACTTTGAGCAAGATATCAACCCTCCAATCTTGAATGTTTCGTCCTCACTCTACCATCTAGCCACTGTAGACCCCAGAAGCCATATGCTGCCACTTGATTCTTTCGAGGAGCCAGCTTATTACCAGTCCAGACCTGGGAATGTGGTCAACAACCCAGTGATGTATCACTCTGCAAACCAGCTCTACAGCAACTACAACACCAACCATCCTGCCTCCAGTCCCAGTCAATGTGTCAGCGCCCGAACCCCCATGAGCAAACTGGGCGAGGGTCCGCAGGTCGGGGATTCCTTTGAAGCCTGTTTGGTGACGAGGCATCAGGGTTTTGTGCCACCCCTGGGAAAGTCGCCACCTTCAAAATACGTTCAAGTGAAGGCAGGAAGCCAGATTCAGCCAGTCGGGCAGCCGCTTAACCAGATCGGATCTGCTAAAGGAAACCATGACGAAAAGGCTCCAGAGAAGATAACTATTAAACAAGAGAATCTCAGCTATGCCTACCTGGAGGATGGTGAGTATTGATGTGTGTGAAGTTTTATTTGCCCAGATGTTCTACAAAATGTTAACAAACAGAGACACTGTATTTAAATAAAAAAAAAACAAGGATCATTGCAAAAACATAAAATCTTAGCCAGTATTTTTGGTTTAGTTTTTAGTGCAAATATCTCAGTACAGTTGAGATAAGAAAGAACTATCTTACCAATAATATTTCAGCAAGATATAAGAGCTTGTTTTAAACCAATAATTGTTTTCATGCTTTTGCTCCATTGGTAGATTATTTCACTCATAACAAAACCCTTCTCCCATGTCAGTAGTGAAATAATCTGCCTTTGGGACAAATGCGCTTTCATCACTATTAAACAAGCTCTTAATCTTGGTGAAACGTTACTTAAGTTATTTCTATCCTATTTCAAGCATACTAAGATATTTGCACTCAAAACTAGACCAAAATACTTGCTAAGATTTTGTTTTTTTATAGTGATAATATAAAAAGTCAATAACATAAGATTAGATGAAAAAAAAACATAAGTCACAATACACAAAATGAACTATATGGAAACACAGGGCTGCCATTTCACACCTAAAAAATGCCATAATTATACTTATAAATGTTATAGTTTCATATTTGTAAACATTTTAACAATATTAATATCTCACTTGAAAGAACAGAAATCCACATATACAATACATATATAAACAAAAATTGATAACCAGCCTGTCGTTTAGCTCCCACTTACAGATAAAGAACTAACAAATATTTTTAGACATTACATAAGGAAATAGAAGGCAATCAACACAAAAGGACACATCTGTGTGGAGATATACATACCGTCTGTAGAAATATTAAACAATACAATGGATCAAAGTGCAAAGCTTGATAACTGAAGAAATAATGGAATTCAGAGAGAACCTTACATTATAGTTTAGGGTCAATTTTTCACATCAGTTTCTCAGAACCCTGTTCCCAAAGGTTCATACTAGAGTACTTTACATTGTTTTTCTGAGCAGTCGATATCTATATGCAATATATGTCCAAAGCTGTGATGATGCATATATTTATCAAGTCTCAAATGTCTCCATGTTGATATGCAGGGACAGGCAGCTGTGACAGATCAGCCAGGGGTCAAATAATAAGACTGTTTTTCTGAAATAGCTCTTTATATTTGCTGTAGTTTGGCATTGCCTTCTTAATGATCTCGCTGTACATACTCTAAAGATTTGTCAAAGTTATCAATTCAGAATAAAAACGTTCAACTGAAAATGTAGAACTGAGATCTAATTTTGCTCTGAATTGAGCAAATAAAGTTAACAACTTAGCTGAATTGAATAAGTCAGTTAAAGAATTAACTGAAAATTATTTTGTTTATTTTCATATTAAATAAAAGTTGTTTGTTTACACTGAAAATGAGTTTGAATTTGAAGTAATACTCTATGAAATTTGAGAACTTGCGGTATTTATACCAGGCAGATACACAGACAGTTGACTGGTAATTTAAAGAAAAATCCCAAAGATCAGATCCTGCACTCATCTTAAATCAATCATCTTGTAATATGTTTCTTAAAAGCGAGACAAGCCTCAGGAAATGTAGATATTTTGACGGAAATACTTTAAACGTTAATAAATTGGACCTAAGGACTATTGAATACATTAGCAATAAGAAAAAAAAAAGGTAGATCATCAAAATGCTTGAGTGAAGAGAACGTTCTGTAGTCTGGGGGATGGGTGTTTGTGGCCCGGTCTGCAGTGCAAACAAGCACCATGCAACTATACATTTGCAAATCCTTCCATGTGGTTTTCAGACGGGCCTTTCTATCCACTTTCCTGTCTGTTTCAGTCTCACTCTCACTGTCTCTCTCACACACTTTCTGAGTAGTAATGAGTATACCCAGTTTCCTTTTCACCAAATCTATAATAACTAACCTAACAATTATGACGGGAAAGAGCTTACACTGTTGTAAAGTGAGAAAATGCCCTGTTGGACCTCTTTGAAGGCAGGCAAAAACAGGAAGTAAACAGTACACATGCAAATATATGCTGATACAAAATAACAAAAATAAAACACCTAATTTCTCAATCTGGTCTTTTCAACAAAATGGAGAATTAATTTTGCTTTCACATGACACATTCACTGTCACAAAGCTGTTTAGAAACCAGCGCCAATGACGCCAGAGCAAAGTCAGGGAGATTTAGAGGACAATGATGTAACTGTAGTCATTCTTCCTTACTCTGTCAGTCATTGGTGGACTCACACAGGTTTTATTAAATCATGTCATGAAGGGGGAACTTGGTGACTGAGGTCAGAAAGGCGCCAACCACAAACCTCAACATCCCTGGTTCAAGTCCTGTGAAGGACGTTTGTTTCACCCTCCCCCCATTTCTCACTGATAATTTTCTCACAGTCTACATTTAGCCATTGCAAAATAGCAGAACAAGTCCAGACTCTGGCGCCACCTATTGGCGACATTGAATAAAACAATCTGACCTCACGGGTTTGTGCATGAACTTTTTGTTTTCTGTTTTTTAGTGAATGACATCATAAGAAGAGACATGAAAGGCCACAGTGGAGTCTGAACCCGCAACACTTTAACATCTCTGAAGATCAAGACTTCTAAAATGTTATTGGAAATATATTGCAAGCCGATATAATATTGGTTTGTATGTTTTTTTAATTTCAAGACAGCATCATGTTACTGTTGAATTCAGAAAGAACAGTGGTTCAGCTTTGTAAGAACTTTAAAAACAGCCGTTTATAAAGATATGCTATGTATCTGTTTTGCCTTTAATCACTTTTGAATTTTTTCTGTTCATATTATTGTACAATTGCTCTTTTAAGAATGTAGAAACTATTTTATAAAAAATAAATTCAGTTTATATGAGTCTGGGTGTGAAATGTGATTATTTTAAGTTTAAATAGCTGAAGGAAACAAACACTGAATCAGAATCACATGCTTAATACTTTAATATCTTAGTTTTGCATGTATGACCAATAAAGATGTGACGTTTTCACTGTTTCATTCTCCAGATCACACACAGTGTCAGCTCAAGTCTCCAGTTTGAACGACGATACTGTTATCTGCACCAATTGAAAATCTAGAGTTTTTATTTATTATGAATACAGATTTAGCAGTTAACAAAAATCGTGGTAATACGGGAGCTTCAGCTTGCACCTCATTGAAATACCCAGCTGGAGAAGAACCCGTGAGAAAATATTAGCTGAATGAGGCACAAATCATACACTCCCAGAGCCACAAAGAGTTTACGCTGCATTTTATTCATTTTGTGTAAACTAAAATTGCACCTTTAAACACTTGATGAAAAATATGTACATACATAAGGTGTTTCATTTAATTTAGTTACTTTTAATTTCTGATATTTTGTTGCCTTTACTAGGCTTTTAAATTCTGCTGTGTCCTTTTGAGGGTCTGCACAACGCAGAGGAGTTTATCTTTTTTTTCAACGTACACAATTTTGTTGCTGCAGTCCTTGGGAAAAAAAAATATACAGGCCTTTAGAAAAGTGCAAGTATTTCTTTGGAGTCATGATGTCCTATTACTGTTATAAAAAAATATGTTTGACCTAAAAACAGGATTAAATAATAAAAAGAACATCTTATTAGTGTAATAATAATAATAATATACTGACTTATTTAATCTGCATTTTTTATAAAATCATCTCTTCAAAAGAAAAGTGACGCTAGAGGGCGACATTTTCAAATTAATCTTCTACCACAAAGGAAGTTGACGTCATATCGAGTGCGTCACTTCCGTTTTTTTTCTTTCCTCTTTTTATGTGGTTTGTAATAACTGCAATATTTCCCCCTTCCCCGCTTGTTCTTATAGTGCAAAGTCTTTTTATGTGTTTCTTTTCTCGAGTTTGACGATAAAACGTTTTGGACCAAATAAACAGTCGAGGCTTTTCCGCTGTTGCTGGTGAGTTTTCATCCAGTCATCCAGCAAAGATATGATTTAACGCAGATCTGTTTCTCCTCAGCTCTTTGTTTTATCATATCCTCTCTGTGTTTACAGATCGGCTCTAACGCTGCACTGCATTTGTGTTTTGCTGCAGAACAATAGCTGGCTTTGTTGTGCGATACTTTGCAGATCCGAGGCTATCGTGCATCCAGTTTTAACTTTAACCAGCTAATTTCTACACACTCTTAATTAATCCTACTGCTGTTGGTTGGACAGGACGTTCGTCGGATGAAATAAGTTCAGACACAGCAGCGTCATGTCTGCAGAGCTGGACCTGTCACCTCCGGAGGTCCCTGAACCCACCTTACTGGAAAGCATCCTGCGCTATGGGTTGTTCCTGGGGGCCATTTTCCAGCTGATCTGCATCCTGGCCATCATAATGCCTTCATCCACGAGTCATGATCAGGTGAGTCATGATCCACTGGGAGGGGCAGGAGCAGGACCCGGTGGGTAAATGTTGTTCCCATCCTAAAAAATGTGTTTTCCTCTTATCTGGACAACAAGAATCCAATGATATGCGTTTTTAGATTGTGAAACATATAAAAAAGATAATATTGTCACAAAATGTCTACATTTATTTCGGCTATTTTCTAAACTGGATAACAGATTTTTTTTTTAATCTAACTGAACAGTAATCGTTTTTAGACCATGACAGAAGAATGAGCTCTCCACTCTTATCTGTATCATTCAGATTTTTACCACAAATATGTACACAAATAGAAATATTTACACATTATACTCTTATATTTTGTACCATTTTACAAGATATGATATAGTTTCTACATAGGGATGTATTTTCTGCAGTGTTACACACATGTACATTAATGCATACAACTTAAAGCAAACAATTTTCAAAAAGCCTTTTCAACCTGACCATCACATCATGCATATCTCAAACTATAAAATAAGCAGCAGTTGCTTTAATCAGATTGAGGTTTTTGATAACAAATACTGGTGTAAAACCAGGGATGGATATGTTGAAAATAACCTAATTTGACTTTGGTCTCGGTGCTCACCTGAGGAAAAAATGCCTTTTATTATTATTATTGCTTTTTTGTAACTTTACAAAAAAATACTACCAGGCGTAAGTATTTTCTTGAGGCTTATTATGGATAATACCTGTAGACCGGTGAAAATTCAAAATAAATATTTCTTTAAAAAAAATATTATGCTGTGGATTAGGGTCAATGATAAAAAAAGATTCTCACTTTTTAATCTCAGAATTCTGCATTTTTTTCTCAGAAAAAAAATTCCCTTCATAATTCTGAATTTAATCAGTCACGTAAAATAAAATCAGATAAATTCCTCCAACAGGTTAGATTTCGTCCTGCACAACTCACATCTTTATCATTTAAGATGGATGTTCTCAGGTCCTGCGTAAAAAGTCAGAATTCTGACTTTTAATTTCATCATGAAACCCTGGAGGAAAGAAAAGATTCAGATTAAACATGAACCACATGTATGTAAACTTGTATGTAAATTAAGTTTAGGTAACTTGACAAATGTTGACAATAACAGAAAGCATATTATAACAACTATCTTACTTGAAAATCTGAAGGAAAACCACCAAAAGCAGAACTCCTCAAACTATCACTGCTGGAAGAGATTATTTATAGACTCAAGCAATTAAATCCTCTTTTTAATTATTCTATTTTCAGGTGATGAGATTGCCTGAATAAAATGCACATGTTGTCGCTGTTTCATCTTTAGCAGCAGCCTGCTTGAAAGAACAAAGGCTGCGTACACAGTGGTAGTGTTGACAGGAAGAAACACGGCAGATTTGCTTTTGTTGCATGAGCAGGACACGCATGTTAGCGTCTCATTCAGCTGTCTCTGTGGTGGAAATGAAGTTGCACAAAATCAATCGCCAGGAACATCACAAAGAAACTAATTATTAGCTCAAATGTCCCAGTTGTTGTACATCCCGAACAGCAGGTATGAAGAGCATTATCCTCAGTTTACACTGAGGATATATTTTCACCCCAGCCTTCCTGCTCACCTGGAGGGTTTAATTGTTCCTGTTGCTTGCTCCACAGGAAGAGACCGAATCCACTGAAAGCAAAACTGGAGAACAGATGAAGAAAGCAAAAGGAGCGGCACCTCAGATTCGACAGAAACAAAAGAAGGAGAGCAAGAAGAAAAGATAGATGTTTATCTGCCCTTTTGTTGTGTGTGTTTTGTCTTATTCCCTGTTATAAGGTTCTATTACAACACTACATCTGATTCACTTTGAATGACCCTCAGCTTTATCTTTACACTCAGCACACACACACTAAATGATGTAGTGTTTGCTGATTGTTAATGATTGCTGATAAATATTTGACAGTGTTTGGTTTTCTTTTATCTGCTTTTCTTAGTATATGTGTATGTGTATTACAATAAATAAAATAACCACTGTTGCTATATTTATTATCTATCCTTTATTTATATAAATAGATCAGAATTCATTTTAGCTTCTCAACAACCCAGTTTTGTAGAAAATAACAGCCTGTTTCCTTATAATTTGTTTTTAAATTGTTGCTTAAAATTAAGTATTTGTGTTAAGAAAAACATTAACATGAAAACGTCTATCGTTGATGTTCTCATTCGTTATGTTATAAATTAACAAGTTAAGTCAATTTGGATATTGCTTCTACTTGTACTAAACTGTTTTCTGGATTGATACAGTTCACTGCTTATCAGGAAAAACCTTCTAAACATGTTTTGTCACTTTAAAAAATAATCATAATTCCATATAAATTATATGATTGACCTCAGAGATTGGATATTTTTCGAATTTAAAAAAACATGGACACTGAAATTATGTGTAAATTCAATTGAAGCAGAGATTTATGGATGAAAGAATGCATTTCTGAACTATGCAACCTTTGAAAATACATTTTAAAATGCGTGGAAACATTAATAGATATATATTCAGATAACATACAGCTTATATTTTTATGAAATGTGATGATTTAATAATAAAATTAATTGATAAAATACCCGATAGAAAAGTGTACCACATTCATTTTCCCTATAGTCATACTTTTACCAAAAAGGTGCAATATTTCACGTTTTTTCCCGCATAAAATCACGTGAAATTTTATAATAATGCGTCACGTTTCTTAGCGTAAGGACTGCGTGTTGCTTAGCAACCAATTTACCTCGCCAGAAAGGAAGCTGATGGCTAAGAAAGAAGTGATTTAGGAAGTTTTATTTCAGTAAAATAAAACAATTTTACACCCATCGTGACGAATAAATAAAACAAACCTGTGTAACATCGTGTGTTTCTCCTGCCTGCCGACGCAGCTTCTGTATCTTGCGCACATGAAGCTAATTCCCCACAAAGTTTACGCTACTGCGTAAAAAAAAAAAAAGGCGTCAAACGCGTCGGTTTATATTTTCGCTCCCGTGTTTCGTCAGTGATGCGCCATCCAGTGGCTTCCCCCCTTCTGCTCGCTCACTACACCGCTCCTGCTTCGACGCATGAATTTCTCTCCAGCTGAACCGTCTGGCGTTCGCCCGGCCCACCGCGGCACAACGCCGGCTGCTCTGCCCTCTTGTTCCAGAAAGCAGTCCTCCGTCATGACCTCCTCCTTCTGCCGCTCCTGTGAAATTCGCTAAATGGGATTTGCGGCTGGCCCCAGGTTTCCATTATCTTTTTAATGAGGACAGCCGTCCGGGGTCTGAGCGGCTTTCTGGCGGTGCGTCTCTGATTTTTGGGCTGAATCTGAAGACGCGTTAAAGGTAAGCTCAGTTTATTTCATCTTGGAGCGGGGTTTTCCTCTTATTTTTTTGTATATTGCCAAGAGGATATATTGTATTTTTTACCTAACAACCTTGGCTTTTCGTCCAACGCATGTTCACGTTTGATACCCCCACACCGAGTGACATTTCATTGTTACACAGGCCATTCAGTCAGCGTGGATCGTACATTTGGCCAGAGCCATTCAGTCTGTGGAGGCTCCCGTCTTTCTTCACCCCTTCAAATGTAAAGCGTCTGTGCTTCACATTTGTAATTGTGTCCGTTGTTTCGAACACAAATCCTAAAGGGAAAAGCAACACATCGACTGTGCGCGGAAATTAAAGCCAACAATCCCGTCGAAATCCAAAATGGAGCAGTAACAGCAGCACCTGTTTTGATTCATCAGGCCGCAAATAACGTTGTTTATGGGAACCGCCACTCACACATGAGCGTCGTTTCTTCATCCCCTCATTCACAAATTCCGTTTTACGTACCTGGTAGGAAACGCTTTAGCAAACACTGACTTCCTACGTGGTCTTGTGGGTAAAATTGAATGTATTTCCATTTTCCTTCTCTATCAAACCCGTATTCAGTTTGACAGCTGCTGCTCCCGGAGGCAGCTGCCACCCCACCCCGTGTTTTCTTTGAAAGCAGCTTTGCTGACAACTGGTGTTTAATCTAGTGGAAACAGAATTTTAATTGTGTAGTTTAAACTGTTTACAGTTTCTTTTGGGAGCTTTTTAGTTGTGGTTAATATCCATAATCCACTGGGTTCAGGTTTTACTATGAATGAGTAGGAGAGCTTTGGAGTTGATCTGGACGCCAATGTGTTTGTCTGATCAGACAAACATGAGTAACATCTTGGTCTTATTGGGCTGCCAAATTCACTGTCACAATTACTCACAAATGTTTTTGAATTGTACAGAAACTCTCAGAGAATTTATTTGTTATGACTTTAGGATGCATTCGAGTTTTACATGACACATTTCAGCAACAACACAATTCAAAGCGTTTTGCACCATAGACACATAATGCAGTAACCAATTACAAAACAGCAATAAACATTAAAATTTGTCAAATGACATCAAGTAAATATACATCAACTATATTGATCAATATTGTACTTACGAATCAAAGACAACTCTAAACAGGCAGGATTTTAGCTTCCATTAAAGGAACTCATTGTTTCAGCAAAACAGTTTTGCTGAAAAACTGTTTCAGCAGTTTTGCAGTTTTCTGGAAGTTTTTCCAGGTTGGTTGAGCTTAAAAACAGGATGCTGCTTCTCTGTGTTTGGTGCTGATTCTGGAGATGCAGAATCAGAACCAAAGTTATAACGGGTCACTAGTACAGTGACAACTGATTTTTGATATCAATTAAATACTTCAATGAAATTGTTTCCAATTTCCTTAATTCACTTAGCATTCAGTTTTATCCAGTAATATTCTGTCTAGAGATGATTTAAAAATAGCTATTCATTTGGCAGACTTCTCTGTGTGTGTGAAAGTCTTTCTGGTTTATCTCCTAATTGTTTCAGTAACAATCAAACAAGCTTCTGTCTTAATTCATTTAACATATATACATATTTAATAGTTTTATTATGAGTTCACAAAAATATTAATTGTGAGATCTGTTAAGCCACCAGTTTATTTGACAAGCTGTCATTACAGTAAGAATTTGTTGAGTTAATGACTTGTGGTTCGTTCTGATATGAGCCGGCCATCCTGCCCTGTGAAATTAATCATGCTTAAGCAGCCGCTCTCTGTGGTCCAGGCTGCCAGAGCCTTCAGTCAAAGATGGAGGGAATGGAAGAGTTTTTCTTAACGTCTTATCAGCTCAGTGCTGTAGTCCCTCCTCTGCTTCTCCCTCCATTTGCCTTTCCTGTGTCTGTTCACCAAAAGCATCCAAGTCTGCTCTCCCCAAACCATCATGAGTTAATAATGGAAAGATCTTAAAGGACAGTTTGTCCATGTTAAATGTACTCTAGCTTACTCTGATGTTGTATTCTGTGTCTCTGCACATCTTAAAGCAGAGTAAAGCTCTGCTAATGTTCACATTTTCTCTAGTTTGGATCTTTGGACACCAATCCTCCTTCCCTTCCCTCTCCCCCATTCCCAGGGGTAAACTGTAATTTCCCCATTGAGCTGAAACATTGTACCATGCTTCTAGTGTCTGCAGGACAAAGTGGAAACTGCGACTGTGTGGATAAGGTGAATTTGCTACCCATGCAAGTTCTATGTTTTCGTCTTTAAGCTTCAAAATTTTTGAGATCCACTGCGTTGTGTGTTGATTTGGATCAAATGATATGATTGAGTTGAGTACTCTTCACTTCTTTCCTGTAATGGTCTAAAGTTTTGTTGTCGTCCTAGAGAGACAAAAATAGTGGCACTAAAAATTTTTAGACAAACATTTCATCATACAAACAAAGCTTTAGTCTAAATATGAGCAGAAAAAGATGATGAATGATGTCTCTATAAACCAATTTAAACTGGCCATGTTACATTGATTTATTTATTTCACTTCTGTGATTTTTGGTGGAGTTTTCCATCAGGCTGTGGGAAAGGGGTTGATTTCTCATGTCATCTGTGAATAGCTTAAAAATCTTTCCATCATCATTCAAACACAACGGTATACCCAAAGTGCAAAGATTTTTTTGCATGTATTCATCTTTCAAAATTTGTATTTAACGTGCTGATGGTTGCTGACTTTGGAGGGATTCTAGGAGAACTGCACAAGCTCTGTAATAGTTGGAGCTAAATGTTATTTCAATTGTTACACTGTATGTTTGCTTTTTTAGACCATTGTAGTAAATTTAAGAGTCAAAGGTCAAGGAATTCAGTTATTTGTAGTTTATGTTCATGAATGTTGCTGAACAACAGACACTACATGTGTAACTGCAACACTAAAAAACATCTAATTCTTTAGTTTAAACACCTTGAAAACTGACTAGTTCATTATGTTTATCACATTGTTCAGAAGTACTCGGTTTAATGTCCCATTGTCTGGATGTTACAGATCAAATTCCACTGGAACAGTGTTGTTGAAACTGAAGTAGAGATGCCAAGACCATGACCTGATACCTTGTTTAAACATGTCTTATTTTGCAATAATATTTGAATCAGTGCAACTAAACGTAGTGGAATAATCTCCATCATCATCACTTCACCATGACTCCATAGCGGAGATGTCACCTTATAGAAGTCATTATTAATCATTAAATATTCCATACCGTTAAAGATATGTAGAGATCCTTAAAATGATCCTAAATCTGCTCTGGTATCATGTTCAATAAAGATGATAAATGTCAATAGAAAACTGCTTGATGAATACTTTACAAGGCTATAGCTTTTGTCTTTTTAAGAATACCTTATAAGTAATGACTTGCAAAAACAAATGCCGGTTTGATGCTCAAATACAAATGTCATGGATTTATTAGGCTCATCTTCACACACCTTCAATACTTGATAGGTGTTCGTACTTGCCTGCTTTCCTAACCTGCATTCCTTTCAGTTATCTGAACACTCTTCTTTTTCCTTCCCATTATTTCTATTCTTCACTCTCAGTATTCAGTTCATGTACAGAAATGGGTCATCGAGTTTATAAGACGCAGTCAGGTCTGAGACGGTGAGGAAGACGGGGGACTGATGAACGTGAATCAATATCAAACAGCTCTTGAACGCCATTGTGAACTAAAGATAGGTACAACTCAGAAAATCTTCCAAGCGAACCATGATTTGTTTTGTTGCTTAATCTAGTCCTTTCTAGTAAAAGTACAGGAAATAAGCATATTTATTTTGCAATATGAATAATTGTTTTTCAGAATAATTGATGTCTAGGAAAATAGTTTATTTATTGAAGATTGCAGAGAAAACAGAAATGTAACATTAAGTATCTAAGAATGTTGAATGTTACTTGCGATTTATATTTGAAAGTGCCATAAGATGAAAGATATGAAGCAATCAAAGCAACAGGAGCTGGAAGGAGCTTTTGTTTTGCATCCATTCTCTTTGTTGCAACGCACACACAGATACACACACATCTTCCTCCTTACTTCCTTCCCCCCTGCTCGCCTGCTGCTCAGGTGCCTGTTCTTGTTGCAGTCGCTGGCAGTCGAAGCGGTGCTATGCAGTCTGGTTCTCCCACGTTACTCTGCACCCTTGTTATATATGGAAAAGCTCAGAGACAGAGTTTTTTTTTTTAAAGATTTATTTCTGTCATTCTTTTTATTGAGACCATATCTCAAAATAGCCGTTGCATAATATTTTTTACACTATCCAGTATGCCTATTGAATCACCATTCATCCCATTTCCTCTGCACTGTGTTTTTTGTGAGAATCGAGAATTTTTTGACCCTATCAGCATTTTTAGGCACATTTTCTAACTCCAAGTTGAATGCTTATGGATTGAAGCATAGCGGGTGATGTATGTGTCATAAGGAATGGAAGTAAACATAATACATCAAAGTGTACATAATTATTAGGCAGCTTTTTCTTCGTCAAACTGTGCCAAAAAAATATTTAACTGACTCTGAAAAGTCAAAAATTAACATAAGTCTCTCGAAAAGATGCATCATTCTTGAAATTGCTGAGATATTGCGGCGTGATGATAGAACCATTAAATGTTTTGTTACAATTAGTCAACAGGGACACAAGAAACATGTTGGGGAAAGGATGCAAATTAATTGCCAAGGATTTGGGAAGAATCAAGAGCATTGCTACCAGGAACAAATTATCTTCCAGTTCTGTCATATTCTAAAACTATAACATAGATTTAACACTGAAAAGTACAAAATGCCCAGAACTCTGAGACATGCTCTAGGCAAGGAAGGCTGAAACTTGACCATCACTGCAGTCATTTAAGTTTCAGTTTCCTGCAGCTTTTACTTGAGGTTTTGCTTTAACACACCCAGGACAATGCTCTGTCACATGCACCCTAGTTCTCCTCTGTGTGGCTAACCAGGCACTATGTCATGACCCCTTCCTTTATGCTCAACAGATCAAAAAACTGACAGACTTCATGAAAGGAAGGTTTATCTCTAGCTGCTTTTCCAGTCACCATGTAATTGTGCAATTTTACATTTAGAAAGTAAATTTACTTACCGGAAACGTGCTGAAAATGCATTTTCTGATTAAAAAGTTTAAGTGCTAGGATGAGATCAAAATTGGTTTATTTCACAAAACTGCAATGAAAACACCTTTTCTGCATCATATGAGTTACATGATCAATAAGTGGAAATTGCTACTGGCTGAAAAAATGAAGAGGATAACAGAAAGTAGTTGGAAGATTATGAAATGGCATGTTTTTAAAGACATCGCATAAAACGGAAGTTATTCACATGTGATTTTATTTGCTTTTCTTATTTAATGGAAATACTGCATTTCCAATTTTTTTGTTTATGTATTTTCTTTGACATTAGCAGAATATTGACAAACTTTTGAGCTCATTTGTAATGGAAACACAGCTACTGTTATTGAAAAGAAGGAGGGCTACTTTTTTCCACCACGATAAACTTCCCTTTTCCTTAAACATTTGTGTTGGAGGTTTATTGACATTTTAGACTGAGCGACAGCACGGTTATTAGTGATTTAATTAAAATAACACTTGCCTAACAATTGTGCGCAGCGTGTAGTTTACAGCATGTTGGTGCTTATAGATATCAGGGAATTGCATTACCATATTTGGAAAAAGGGTGAGACTATTTTGCAGAGGCAGCTCAGTTGCTTAGATGCAAAGTCGCAGAGAAAATCAAGTGCACTCGGGTTGATCCAGTATCCTGAAGGGAACCGGAGTAAATGATCAATTCTATGGACTCGGAGGTATTTTAGGACATAATTTTAAGGATCATTGCCTCTTTCCAGTTTGAGAACAGATTGTTTAATTAGGCCTAAATGGTGTCTTCAGTCATGCGCCCTTTGTGCTGCATTACTTCTACAATGTTTTCCTTTGACTTAATGTGCTTGTTTTCCAGCCTCATTGTTGTCTCCATGGACAGAGCAATTGATACATTATTAATACCATATGAATTCAAGTATCTAAAACCACTAAAAGGCTAATTACGTAATCATTTGCCATATAAACACGAAGTCAAGTTAATATTTTGGTTTTGAATTGAACAGCCATTGCATACATTAATACAAACAACAAAAGCCTGCAACCAAAAGATGGTATGGTAAAACATGCATAGGAAACCAATCAGTGGTTGCAATTTTGGAAAAAGCGATTTGGTAATGACTAAAGATGGTTAAATTGAGACAGTTAAATCTTTTGGGTTTATTCAATTAATCGTTTTTTGTTTGTTTTCTTTCTGCCTTTGCTGAGAGAAGTTAGGAATGTGATATGAAGCACACAGAATCATGGACATTAGGACAGACCTTAATGGATGTGACAGTGGGGCAGCCTGCAGACTAAGTTGATTCCTTACCCCGGGGCTGTGCTGAATATCTTTCTCTTTCTACCCATTTTCTGTCTGATTACTGTGAAGGCCACTAGTGCTGCCGAATCTTAACAAAAAAATAAAAACAGGCAGAGTTCTTGGATCAAATTTCCTGCATGACCCAAGTCTGGTTTTCACCTCACATCTTTTAGCATTTCCACTCAGAGATGTTTCTCCTCTTGCTCACGGGGCCCTACTGTGCATCCAGAAAGCTTTTCTCTGCAGTAATTAAGAGTTTAAGTAATGACTCAGAAGTTATGTTGCAGAACTTGGCTGCACTGCACCCTTGAACAGCAGATTATTGGTTAGAAAGATTAGGGTTTTTTTTTTTTTTTTTTTTTTTTGGTTTTTTTGTTGTTGTTTTTTTACATTTAGAGTTACTTTTCTACAAAAAAAAACAAAACAAAGTGGTTCAATTTGTGTGATGTCATCAACTAGCTTGTTCATTGCTGCTGATTTGAAAAACTTTAGCAAAAGTTCTGCCGTGGAAATAAAATTTTTTTATTTACTTATTTATTTTTTTTATCTATTTGTGTTTTAATAATCAGTATTCCTTTTTTAGGGTGAGGCTTTTGGGGAGGGCTTATGGCAGATTTTCACAGCTGTGACTCCTATAAACTGTTATATGGACTGCATAGCACCCTTGTTATTACAAATCTAGTCTTGCTCTCCTGTGTTTTCCTACTTTGATTATCTCTGACTAGCTTGAGGCAGCAGCGTTTAGTCAGCAGGCTTGTAGGCACAAGCCACCGACTGTGCACAGGTGTGAGGACCAATATAGCCTTCAGTTCTCTTTTTCTCTGCCTCTCATATTTTTTTATGTGTGGTCACCTTTTATACACACAAGCAGGTGCGTCTGGCATATGTAATCAGACTTGCATACAAGACTTTTACATTGCCAACTATGTAGCATCTTGGCGAAAATGCACATGAGCACAAAACTAGAAGCTTATTATTTTACTACCAAACATCAAAGTCGATAGTCCAGGGTGTGGGGCACAGGTTTTTTTGTTGTTGTTGTTTTGTTTTTTGGAGTAGTGGCCTTCACTTCACAGACTATCAAATGACTGTTAAGTTTAAAATACAGGGGTTTTTGACATTTCAACAAGGATAATTTACCCCATCTTTCTGCAGTCATGTTTTATTGACACCATTAATCCCGTTGCACATGCACTATACAAGACAAGACAAATGTGATCAAAACTTTTGTAATAAAGTTTGTCAATATTTTGCTGGAAGAAAAAAAGAACATTTTACAAGTGCAGTTTTTCCAATACATAATAAATGCAATTAAAATCTCACAGAATAAGTCATTAAAAACCATCATCCTCCCACTTCTTGTTGTCTTCATCATTTTTGCCTGCAGTAAGATCTGGTTGTTGATCACACGACTCGGGTGATGCAAAAATCGTGTTTTCATTGCAGTTTTGGAAAGTACATTAATTTTGATGCAGCTGGAAAAACACTTAATCTTTTATTGAAACATGTTGAGATTTTTTCTAAACTATTTTCATTATTTCAATTTGTGCAACTATATTCTCAATTGAAATGCATTTATTGTTAAACTACAATCTAATTTTGGTCTTGTCTTGTTTCTTGCCCACTTTACTTTACCCTTCTAGATATATTAACTCAAAGTGGACCGAATTACGTTCTTGCAGAAGTTGAACCAAAGGTTTCTCAGCTATTTTCTTTCTTTGCTCAGAAATCAGTGTGCACATTCGCGAGCACTCGACTTCCCCGCCCCCACATCTTCACAGTGGGAGACTGCCCATGTCTTTGAGAATCCCCATACCTGTGTAATTATGTTATGCTCACACATCACACTTTAAACACCCACTAAGCCTCAGCTGTCCGCGCAGTACGTAACAACCACCTACACGTTCTTTTTAGAGCCACAGTCAGTTCCTTCCTCCATGTCTGTTAATAACCCTCTGTCCTGTCTGTCAGACACTGTGTGTTGGAAAGTCTCACCAGGCTGCCTGCATGTGTTTGGAAAAAAGGATGTGAGACACAACTGTGCTGGGGGTTAGGGGGGGTGTTGGTGTGCAGTTGAGCCTTGTTTCCCAGAGGCCATGGAACAGCTGCTAATGCACACGAACGCACATACACACCTACGCATACGAATCCACTCTGTCTGGAACTGAGAGTGCTGGGATTCACAAAGGAACCAGGCTGTTTCATGTGTGTGTGACTGTCTTGTTTCAGCTGAGCTGAAATAGCCAGTCTCATGATGAATCACTGCTCCGCGGCTGAAGGGGAGGAGCGGACCTGGTGTGTGAGCAAGGCACACAAACTTTTAGTGCATCCACTTTGTGAACTTTTAGTCTGTGTCCTCTTGATGACTACACACTCTCAACTTGTTGCTTTTATCAGGACAGAGCAGAAGTGTTGGACGTGTTTCTGTCCTTGCCAGCTCACTAGCTGCCGCCCTGGTCTTCATGGCTCGCTTTGTTTACCGCTGTGTTTACCTTGGTGACGGGTATTGATTCAGACCAGATGTAACGTGATGGGAATAACCTTGAATATTGTAAAAGTGTGTGTTCATTTGTTCAGATCCTAGTGTTTGTATGCCAACTGTGTTTAACTGAATGTGGAAAAGCTCCAGGGATGCACAATGGTGGAGCATAAGAACTGGATTTAATGTGACCGCTTATGTTAGGGCTCGGACTTTAACGTGTTCATTTTAATTTATTTATTAGATAGGTCTTAATGCATTGAAAATTTTAACACAATTATTTAGTTTGTCCTCTTTTTACATACAAGAATTCTGAGCCAGAACCTTTACATTGTGTTTCTGGTACATACATAAGTCTGACCCACAAGCTACATGAGAGAACAGCAAATGATCTGATGAAACACTGGTAAACATTGTGGTTTTTGTTCAGATTGTGTTAACCTATAATCCTAAACATGTAGCAGCAGAGACAACCTCAACATTAATCTCGGCGTTCACATTCCACATTTCTTCGAGGGAAAAAAAACATATTTGAAAGTATTTTTTCAAAGAAACCAATTGATGATTGAATACCCTAAATAACATTAAAAACTATAAATATCTGTTGATGAGCACATATGTTTGTTTATTCATAATTTAGCAGCAAAAATGTGTTTTGAAATAAAACTGGGGCTTATTTTGCCATCATCATTTTTGTTTAAAATGTGATTAATTGTGGATCATGCAATTAACTGTATTTAAAAATGAAGTCGCAACACCAATTTATGTAAGCGTTCTTCATGACCCAACGAGGTTTATGTTTTTATTTTAGGTTGTATTTTCATATTTCAGGTTATACAACTTAAAGCATCCTCTTGAATTTTACTGAATATGTTTGAAAAAGCCATTTTTATAAATAACCCTATCAAATCTATTTGATCCATTATTGAAATAAACACATCGTGACACCTTCGGATGTTAAATGCTGCTTCCTCGCTCATCACCGGCTTTCGTCACAGGTCTGCACATGGGGGCAGGCAAGAGTAAGCCCAAGGAGCCGGGCCAGCGCTCCATGAGCCTGGATGGTACCATAGGCACAGGCTCAGACAGCGGACACTTCCACCACCTGGGCCCCTCTCAGCAAACGCAGACCCCCAACCGAAGCCCTGCTGTCGGCACAGGCAGGCCGAGGTACCAAGGGCAGCACCAACACGCCCCGACAAATACGCCAGAACTGAGTCTCTTCGGAGGGGTGGACCACACAGGAACAGTAACATCACCTCAGAGAGGACCTTTGTCAGGTAGGAAAACATGTCATGCTGCTGGACAGGTTTGGATTTCATTCATTTCACAACAATTGAAGTGGAGCACCTTGTAATCATTAACTCTGCCATGAATTCCTCTGTGTTCTGGACTTTAATGTGAAGCTATTTAAGTACTGAAGCTTGGCTGAAATTAGGGGGGAAGCTGGTTGTAAATTCAAAATGGTTGTAAATCAGAAGGATCAAAGTCACCCAGTGAATATAAAAACTGCATCCTAATTAAATTCATGTAATAGACTAATAAGACCCCAGAGTGGACAGAGCTGACACTGTAGAGTCTTTTGACTTGTGAACACATTGGGATTCATCAAAATAGGAGAGAGCAGAGGTCTCCAATCTTCACCAACAAAAAAAAAACATTTTGTCCCTGAGTCCTGCAAATGCTGCATCACATTTTGATGGGAAAAAACTACTTTTTTGATAAATATGTTAAATAAAATTTGAGGTCATTTTTAAAGAACCATCATTTTATCTGTACTTCTAGTTTTTAATGTAAAGATTAACGTAATATGTTTGGACTGCAGTGCTTGAAGAGAACCTACAAATGCATCCAGAGTTTCATGCAGAAACTCCCATCTGGTATTTGAGTCCCGGACTAAGCCTGTCACAATGAATCAATTAATTGCTGAATAAATTAAAATGAGCTCAAGAATTTGCATTTGCATGATTGCTTTCTCTGGTGTCTATTTCATTCTACCAAAGACGGGATGACAGTCTGGTCTCCACTAGCCCCTTTTTTGAAGAACAATTTTGTTTACAGAAACGTCAGCATCCATTTAATTTGTTGTTTCAGCTGTTAGATGTTCTTTTGAATTGAAAGTTTATTGATTTTTGAAAGAGACATAATAATGCAATAATTCAATTTATCGCCCAGCAAAATTTGTTATTGTGACAGGCCCAGCGAGGACCAACTTGCTTTTGTCCAGTTATGTCAAATCTAAAAAGTGATTACAGTGAGTTTATTTCTGCTGGCATCATATATTTGATAACCAGAGAGCAAAGAAGTAGAAGTGAAAAAGGAGAAATAAAAGCACAGAATATTACACAGTTACACAGGTTCTTTTTACTAAAAATGTAAAAAAAAAAAAAAACTAGCTTTTTCCATTCTGTTTTTCCAGACAAAAATAATCTATATATATCTGCTTATTGGTGATTTGTCATGTTAGAGGTTTCAAAATAATGTGACAAAAAATAAAAAAAAACAATATTTTGACCAATGAACTGTTTCCAATCAGAACTGTTCAGAAAGCTAAATAATCAACAAGATGGTTTAAATCTTGATTTTTTTTTTTTTCAAGCAGACATGAAAGCGTGTTTTTAACATTTTAGCTTGATTTGCTGCAGTGTCCAGTTTTCACCCAGGAATGTTTAAGCTGTCTGGACCAAGCAGATGGTCGGGTTAATGTTGCTTCATGCAGAGAAAATGACCTGCTGGTGTATCAGCAGCAGCCTTCCTAGCTACTACGTTCTGTCATGCATCTAATGAGCTAATCGATGATTGCCTGGAGGGCTTGGGTTTAGATCACCGATTTGTTGAAGCCTACAATTATAAAATCCTGCTCAAATATAGAAAATAACTTATTATGTCAATGTCTTCTTGAAAAGATGAGCCAGAGAGAGTCTGACTGTTAATATTTCCATTAAACACTGAAAAATAGTTATTGTTCATAGATACAACCAAGTCTAAATAAAAAAAAGTCATTCAAGGATTTCAGGCAAAAACATTCTGTCCTTTTGTTGAGTCTTCAGTTACATTTGTTTAAATAAACATTCCTGGTTTTCTTGCAGGAGGCGTCACTACATTTGTGGCGCTGTACGACTACGAGTCGCGGACAGTGAGCGACTTGACCTTCAGGAAAGGCGACCGGCTGCAGATTGTGAACAACACGTAAGCGTCTACAACCGTTTCCATCATTCCTTCGCAGTATAACTAAGAAATAAATAGATGCCTGAAAAGAGACACGGTATGCCTCTTTTTCATGAGCTGTCACCGTTTCCAGAGGTTTCGACGGGATCTCTGTGACACATTTGGGTCAGATTATGATGGGAATAATCATTACAGTAACTGAGCGCATTCGTCTAGTCTGTCGCTTGAATGATTGGCTTTCCAGCTGATTTTAGGCCACGAAATGAGATACCCGACTCCACTTTTCTACTCTCATATGCTGGTTGTGTGCTATTACAGATAATTGCATACACAACCGCACGCACACCTTATCCGAAGGTAGACTCCAAAAGTCAGCCAGACAGTTAATAACAGCAATCTATCATTCAGCAAACTGAGGAATGCAGGTTTTAAAACTTGCATTTTCCTCATGTATTTGTTCTGATGCAGATTCTTGAGGCAGTGCTTGTGAGTTCAGCTGTTTTGTTTTGAAATGAACAGAGATAGCCACAGTGAAGGGTTGGAGCTGGGAGCCGAGAAGCAAACCCTCCCTTCTGTTTACTGAGGCGGAGGAGAAGAGCATTTTGCTAATGTGTCCTGCTTCCTTTTGGGCCATTCTCGTAATCTTTAAGACTCTTCAAAGAGAGCACGTCACGCTGAGATGCAACCTCGCAATTCTTCGATGCAGATTCCACCTGAAAATGCAACTTCCCAGCACATACTGAACTCTTGTGTTGTTTAGTGAGAAGTAAAGAAGAAAGTGAATATTGAAATTAAGAAATAACATTCCAGACATCCACATACAGATGTTTAAATTTAATGCAATTTTTTTTTTTTTACTTTTTCTCTTATCTTCTACCGTATAATCTGTTCAGCAGACAAAATTTGCAACCAGTTCATTTTAAAGCCAAATATTTTTCAGACACATAATGAAACATTTGCCTGCTCTGTGTTTACATAGGTTTTGTTTTATTCGATCAGATTAAAAACAGAATAAAACAGACGTTGCAGTCTTGGAGCGTATCCAGCTCCTTCCTCTGCTGTGCTGCTCGTCGTGCTTTGTCTCTTTGCTGTGTTTTGATGCGTCTGCTGTGTCTGTTATCTCTCTTTCTCTCTTCCTTTCTCTTGCTTCATGGTTTCTCCTAGGAAAAAGTACAGCTTCAGGTCAGTATTGTTACCTCATGCAACCTTTTGCTCTGTCCCTTTTCTGTGTTTACTTATTTATTTATTTGCTGATATGTGGATTTAAATGGATAGTCTCTTTGTTAGATCACAAAGTTCTTTCTGAAATCACACCTAAAATAGTTTTCTGCGGTGTTGCTTTCTTTGTACATAATGGATGCTCCTGAAGATAAAATGATTTATTATGTAAATCAGTGGAGTAGACACTTACCTGGGTTATGTTTTTTTTTTTTTTTCTTGCCAGTCTTTGAACTTTGGTGTTGTTCACGTTATTCATATAAGCATGTTTTCATTTTTACTTTGATAAAATTATCCTGGAGTTACAAAATATGGTATAAGTGTAAGACAGTTTGCAACACAACAGTTAAGAGGAAAACTTTGTTAAATGACTAAACCCAGCAGATGTTTCACAAATAATAAATAAAAAATGCCCATAAGGCACTCATGATGTAGCCCTGCTTCTTAAAGTGCCCATATAGGAATGTGTGTACGTACTTTCAAAAAGTGTGAAAACTTTTGTAAAGTGTTTACATTTTGTCCCTTTACATCCACAAACTTCAGTGTAGTCTATTGGACTTTTTATACGATGATCCAACAAGTTGCAATTCATAGTTGTCAAAAGAAATTTTGTTTTCAATAAATGAAAGAATCTGTAAAGAATCTGTGCTGAAATGTGCTATACAAATAAAATTTTAAATAAAGTCGTCTATGTACACGTGTTTTAAAATGCCACCCATAAATAAAATCCAATGAAAAAATTAGCACTAATACATCTGTGTCATGACATGAAGATTGTTTTCACATACACTATCCATAAAAATTTGACTTATATTTTGCAAACCAGACAGTCTGTGGAAGTGCAAGGCTGCAGCTATAACTACAGAAAATACACACCACACTTTTAAGACTTTTTTATTATTACTGTTTGAAAAGCAGTGCGTCATTTTCCATCCTCATTCCAAACATTCGCTACTTTGTGTTGGTCTGTCGCATAGAATCCCAATAGAGCAAACAGATGTTTGTGGTTGTAACGAAGCAACATCTCTGTTGCTACATTTCTGTGACATGCACCCAGAAATTCAAATATTACAAAAGTGAACACTGACAAAGTATTTTTAATAATCAAATGATAATCTCTCCATGAGCTATACAATGTTTTTCATGGAGACCTTTTGTATGACTGATAGTTGAACAGGAAATGTAAGCTAATTTATGGGAATCACTTAATGCTCCAGGTCAGGTCTGCACTTTCTCTTATCATAGTTTGTGTTGAACTGAATTAACAGCTGTATGAACACAGTAAATATGTTTTCATAACGATATACATTTTTCCGTCAGAGAAGTTCTTAAAGTTCCTTGTATGTTTTTATTGCCATGGGGAAGCTGGAGGCGGTGGAGATGTAAAGACAGTTTTTATTTAGCTTCTATGATAGCATATTAAATACAACACACATAAAAAAGATATCCTTTACCTAACACCATACAGTTTTTTTCCAGATTTATTCTGTGCAGCTCCTCATAGATTTTTTTTTGTTCCTTTTTGTTTTTGTGTCCTAACTTCTGGCTCTTCTTTCTCTCCTCCATCCTTTAGAGAAGGGGATTGGTGGCTCGCTCGCTCGCTCACAACAGGAGAAAGCGGTTACATCCCCAGCAACTACGTGGCTCCGTCCGACTCCATCCAAGCTGAAGAGTACTGCACCTTTTCTGTGTCACTCTCGCAGTTAAATTATTTTAGCCCACATCCATCTATGTATTATTTGAAAGTGGTTGTGTGTGCATCATACTAATGAATGCATGCTTGTTTGTAATTCAGATGGTTCTGACAGCATTTTTTATACATGCAAGTCGAGCTCCTCCTGTTCTTTTCAGCAGCTCCGCTGGAGTTTCCTCTGATCTTCCCTTTTCTTTGACTGACCTTGGCAGGTGGTATTTCGGGAAGATCACTCGACGTGACTCAGAGAGGCTCCTTTTGAACCCGCAGAACCGACGAGGAACCTTCCTAGTGCGGGAGAGCGAGACCACGAAAGGTGAGAGAGCAGACTCTGGCTTTGCTTCCCTGGCTGGGGTCGTCATTAAGATCCATCATCAGAATTAGGCCTAATGGCCTCATCTGCAATGACTCATAATAATGTCATAAATCAGCCGCTTTCAGTATATACTGCCCAATTTACAGCATGTCACATGGCAAAAGCATGAAAAACGTGAATGATTGCTTAAAACTCAATATTACATTTTGAGATCTCATTACGAAAATGCTGAGCATCAGGTTTAGTCTGGTAGCAACAAGACGATAAAGAGGGAAAACAAGTTGTCAGCTCTTTTAAGTGTTGAACTCATTTTTTTTTTAGCCAAGAAGTGGTCTTTAAAATAAGTATTTTAAATAGAAACTCTGGAAAATATGGTGTTTAATTGGAAAGAAATATAGATGCGGAAAGTTTTTCTGCAAAAATATTTCAGTTTAATGTGAAATTTTTGTAAACTAAAGCCATTTTCACTAATGCTTTGTCCAAAATCCAGCTTTCATAATATAAACAAACACAACATTTTACCAAATGTTTAGTTTTTAGTGCAGATGTCTTAAAACATTTGAAATAAAACTAAAGTAACGCACAACAAGCTTTTCAGCAAGGCGCAACAGTTTGTTTTTTTCTTCTTGAATATTAATAAAAAGTACTGGTTCTACTGGCAGATTATTTTACTTATAACATGGAAAAATGTCTTGTTGTACCAGTGGAGTAGTACTTAAAATAAATATTAAGGAAGTATTTACTTAAAACAAAGTCGTATATCTTGCTAAAAAGTTACTTGTAAGTTTTTGTCTTATTTCAGTTGTAGTAGGATATTTGCACTAGAAGACTTAAACTACTTGGTAAGATTTAGTGTTTTTCAGTGAAGCCCTGCAGCTCTTCTTGTTATTTCACACTGTGAGAGCACATCCGCAGCAGAATATGCCCTGCCATTAAGGTATGAATGGAGAGTGTGGGAAAAAGCCTGAATCTTCTCCACTTTCTCCTCAACATCACTGGTGTTTGCATGCAAAAATGTTTTGGTTCTTTATAAGCATGCATTAATTTGTTCCCTGATGAGTTGCACAGATTTTCATATGAAATGTAATCTAAAAAAGTAGGTTGTTAAGAAGTTGGCATGTGTTAAAACAGTGTGAAAAAGACAACTGTTCCCAACAGATTACATTAACATGATCTGAGTAAATCTTAAGGGACCATGTTTAAGAGGCAGAACCTCATATTTAAGTTATTTTATTTCAGCCTTTGGCACGCTGCAGCTTTGTTGTCTGTGCTCGTGACAGAGTTGTTGCATCTTTTCTTAAAATCTGCAGTCAGATCTAGTCTCGGTGATGTAGGAGGGCTCGTGAAAGGCTTGTTTTTCAGAAAGTCTGGGGGATAAATAAAAGGACTGGAGTGGGTTGGACCTGTGAATGGATAGGGGTGAATCATTCACCCTTAACTAGGTCAGCCTTGAAGGGTGCTGGATTCCCCCCCTCTGGCTGTAAGTCGCAGTATACACTCACACACGCACAAGAACAGTGGTAGAGAGGCTTTGAGGAGAGATTGTTGAACTACGAATGAGCAAATCAGAGAAAAAAAGAGGGGAGGATCGAGAGGAGCAGGAGGAGCTCTGGCAGGAGATTTGTTGCCTCAGGTTAAGTTCTGTATTAGCTGTCAAATGTTAGGTTCTCTGTGTGACTGAAATGAGCAGGAGCATGCTGCTGACATGTTGAGACGGCAACAAAAATCTGATCTTTGCACTGCACACGCTGCACACACACTACCTACATCAATCATTTAGGCCTTATTGGATTTCTATTTTGCTTTTGGAAACTTATTCTACTTTCATAATCCAAATGTTTCACGATTGGCCAAGATTGTAAATTGCTTTAAGCCTCACTCCAGGAAAAATTTAATTCAAGCTACGTTTTGGGCAGCAACATGGAAGGCAAGTGAGTGTTGAACTGGTGGAGACGTGCTGCTCTGAATATGCCATGTGGTGTGCAGGCTGGATGTACACTGGGAGCTTTAACTTCTCTGCCCTAGATATTTTTTTTTCTGCCAGGGAGATAAGATCAGTCAACAAATCTTGAGAAAAAAGTGATTGATTTTGTTTTATTTGTAGCTTCCCTGTAGCTAAAAACAGGGAAGCTTTGGATACAAAGAATGTATCCAAAGATGGGTCAATGTCTGGATCAGATCCAAATAGTATTTTTTTAATCTGAATTATGTTTCATTGACTTGTTCTTTAATACTTTATCAGTTTGAATCTTTTCTAAATTCCCACAAATGTAATGGATTTAAATCGAGATTGCACTTTGTTGAAATATTTAACAGTAGCTGAAGTGATAGATTTTGATCTGCTTAAAACTCCAAAATGGAGGATAGTTATTTGCAAATGCAATTTAGATCTTTTATACATCTTATTAAAAGTCTTCTAAATTATTCAGTAAAAATTTTATTGTTCTGCTGTTTGTCCCATTATGTTTGCATCTCACTTTTACAGGCAATGTTTTATTTACCTTAATCTTCTTAAAGTAGTAAAGATCACGAGTGCTCAGGGCCGTGCAGAGACCTTTGGAGGGGCGGGGGCTCAAAGTTTAAAAAAAAAAGGGCACATTGAACAAGAACTTAAAACACCGAACAGTAACATAGCAACAACTCATATTAATCCAGAATTTAATTGGATCCAACTATATCATTGCCATCATGCAAGAAAATGCAAAGCAAATGTAATATATTTTCCCCAACAGGTATAAAGTTTCTGTTTCTGCTGCTGACAGCCTGGAGGGCTGAGTTGATCTGAGACTGTAGCTGTTAGACCAGAGGAGAGAAGCTCGCTGGTTATGAAGTTATAAAATAAGTAAATTTGCTGTCATTTTACTAATTAAGCCCTAATAATATCCATTTAACCTCTAGAGTGGCTTGGCTGCAGACTGATTTATAGATCAAAAAAGCTCAAAGTAGTTAACTCCATATAACTGTTAGATGTTAGCACCTCTGAGATCTAGAATTGTAAGACTGGGATATCAAGGCCAAGAAAACTCAGTAGCTGCTGGTAGGGGCCATTCAGGGGCCCCTAGGAATGCTTTATTTGTAACACAGACTATATATCTAAACCTGTAGCATTCATTCATAGAGAATAACAATGTTATTACATTTTATGTAACGCATTCAGCTGAGAAAAAAAAGTACAATTACAATTTAATTAAGAAGTTTACTTTGTAAAAGTTTGAAGAACCATCTTGATAGTTTGATTGTTGTGTTGCCATGTCTACATTATGGTGTAATCTTTGAGTTGGGTTTGTTCACAAATTCATCACGGCAAACAACGAATAATCAATGATTGATTTTAAACTCAGCCAATAAACATGATCTCCCTCTCACAGATTCACCTTATCTATATTTAAACATGTTAGTGATGTTGAGGTTCTTAGAAGGATGGGTTTTGGGGGATCTGTCTAAGGCCCCATATTACCTTGGGCCGGCCCTGCATGAAGCACGGCTGCGATGCGCATCTCTGGAATCCACCGTGAATCCCCCAGTGATTCACAGGGGATTCATTTAATTGTGGCATGTTTGGCTTTATGCTGCAGTGTATAAAAATATATTCTTGCCCATAATTTGATAGTTAGAGGGCGCAGATCCGCCCCCTCCTCCTCACCATGGACCAGGTGACTGAACAACATGGAGGAAGAGAAACTGAGTCATTATTAGACTGAGGGCAGCCAGACTTTTTTTATTTTCCTAAATGATTATATTTAGTTAAATATTATTGCTGAGCGGCACAAGCAGGCCTTCTGATGCACAGATTAAAAATAATAATAAATTTTTAAAAAATTTGGAGGGGAAATCAAAAAGGGCACTAGGGGCATCAAAGGTAAAAGGGGCAGGGGCTCGAGCCCCCCCACACACACCCACCCTGCGTGTGCCTGTGAGGGCTTGACAAATGATCTGTGGTTTAGTGCAGTTTGAATTCATGTGCTAATAAATGCTAGTTTGAGAAGCAGGAACTGACTGTGTAAGTAAATATAGTCTGTAGCCGAATTGCTTCCTGTGCTTTCAAAGCTCCTTAACGAAACATAATGACCCAGAAGTATCTGTATGGAAGCCGTGATAAGAGCCTGTTCCAATCCTTTCATTGCCAACGAAAGGAGGTTCAGTGGCTCCTTTTGTCATTGCTGTTAGCACTGAATCCTCTTTCATGCAATCAAAGGAGATGATGTTTTTCCCATAATTCCTTGCAGCCTTAGCATTCACAATCATTCTTGATTGTTTTCGCCCTCTAACAAACTGGAATTTATGTAGAATAGATGGTCAGAAAGATAAGTGTGGTCTTTCTAAAATGTGTCTTTTTCTTTAAGATTTTCTTTTAAAAATTTCCCATGTTTAGGAAATAATATTTTACATTCTAAAAGTGTACACTTAGATATTTCGTCTGGGAATCAAAATCCTGTAGAGTAGTGGTTATTAAGTATTTTACATGAAGCATTGCCTCAGGAAATGCTGGAGGTTTAAAAACTCCAAAAGTATTTAGAATAGGTGTAGAATACCTAAAAAATTAGTTTGTTGTGTATGTGTGTGTGTATATATCTTGTCTCCAGTTCTACAGGACTGAGTTGTAGCTGGCCCGGCTCAGTATAGCGACGTGAATGGACAACATTTTGGATGGTTGGCGATCTTTGGCACTGCCAGTAGGAAACTCCTCAGAGCAGCTGTCAGAGCGTTTCAGAGCCGCCTGGTTTTATTGTTCTGATCCATCTCCGTCTGTTGTTTTGGTTTTGCCCACAGGGGCCTACTGCCTGTCAGTGCTGGATTACGACAACACCAAAGGCCTCAATGTGAAACATTACAAGATCAGGAAGCTGGATAGCGGAGGTTTCTACATCACCTCTCGCACCCAGTTCACCAGCTTACAGCAACTAGTCTTCCACTACCGCAGTGAGTATTCAGGCAGTGCTGATGGTTCACCTCTTACAACACTAATCTGCCTTTTCACTCTGTCTCCTTTCCTTTTTTCCTCAGAGCACTCAGATGGGTTGTGTCATGCTTTGACGGATGTATGTCCAGTGGCCAAACCTCAGACGCAAGGCTTGGCCAGGGATGCCTGGGAGATTCCTCGAGAGTCCCTCCGCTTGGATGTTAAACTCGGACAGGGCTGCTTTGGAGAAGTCTGGATGGGTAGGAATCTCTCTTGTACCATCCATAGTCTAATATATATCCAAAGAGGGTCATTAAAGGGTGTATTATGCAAAAATCCACTTGTTTGAGTTTTACATCATGTTATAATGCTATTCCCTTATTGAAAATATGTTGAGTGGTGTTTTGATTCCTTCTTGCATGACTGAGAAATCCTTTAATCTCCCGTGGCAGCCATCCTGGAGATCCTAAAAGCCGAGTTCCTTCAGGCTAGTGGAAGCAGCAATTAGCAAACACCTGGTGGAAGTGGGCTTCTGCTGACCTCATCATATTAACTACTCATGACTGAAACACTCATGAGAACGGCTGTCAACAATTTAACGGAAAAAATGTTGTGAGAATGTGCTGAAGATGGAGTGTCAGAAAATCCAAAGAGCTTCTTAAAGACACATACACAATTCCAAGTATCAATTAAGAAGTCAAATTTCTTTTAAGTTATATATAATACATAGAACATTTTTACATAATTGAAGGCAGCAGATACTTGGTTGTGCTATAAAATCTCACTGTGTGTCTGGAAAATGCATAAAATGGGCGTGGCCTGGTTTGGGGATGAAGGGAGGAGGTTAAACTGGATTGAAGTAAGAACGAGAGAGTCACTGTTGCCAACTTAGCAACTTTGTTGATATATTTAGTGACTTTTCAGACACCTTTAGCAAGTTTTTTAAAGCATCTAGCTTCATTATTGGAGACTTTTATTGCAACATGTGAAAGCACCAGCCACTCTGCAGCTTCATTCTGATGAAAAGGCAAGTGCTGTGTGACGTAAAGCCATTACCATTGTCAGCAAACAGAAAATTAAACTGGAGTAGCTGCCATTCAACCCAAAGAGGCTAACTCTGAGACAAGTTTTGGCAAAAATCTTGCAAAACAAAACAAATTTACATTAATTATCAAAATTTGCACAAAAGCATAACAATAGCACCCTTATTGACCGATGTTGAGAGTTTCTTTGCTAAACATTACGTTGATTGGGGCATGCTTGCTCTTTTACCAGTTTTATAATGCCTGCTACAAATCAAATCCTTCCCTCCAATATTGGGTTGCAGACTTAAAAAACTGACACCAAAGCAAAAAGAGCATTTTTTTTTAATTTATGCTAACAAAGTTTATTTTTCTAAAATTTTTTAAAGGTAACTACAAACATCATTCTTGGACAATGAGATTTTTGTCTGCTCTGCATATTTAGAGCCTATTAGAGAACCTTTTGTCACTTTAAATCCAAATGTCTGCTTTGGCCTCAGCCACACAACTCAATGTTTACACTCGCATGAAAATGGTTGCTAACAGATGCACAATTATACAGCAGTACATCTTTGAAAAGCAGAAGTAGTGCCTCCTGCAAAATCAACAGGAATGCAACAAATGGTTTCTGGATAGTAGGTAAACAACAAAACACTTGTCAGCAAAAGCCAACTGGTTGTCTTTTTTTATATACTTGGGTTGTTTTAAGAACCAGTAATGTTCCAGTTGAAAGTACAAAAAACATGCAAAATGTGAATTTTGCATAATACATCCCCTTTAATGCACATACTGAATATTTCTATTAAAAAAAACACCTGATTCTGTTCTTTATGAGTTGAAGTTCTTGTTTTGTTGACAGGAACATGGAATGGTACAACGCGGGTAGCCATTAAGACCTTAAAGCCAGGCACTATGTCTCCAGAGGCTTTTCTGCAGGAAGCACAGGTCATGAAAAAGCTAAGGCACGAGAAGCTGGTCCAGCTATATGCCGTAGTGTCTGAGGAGCCCATCTACATTGTGACAGAGTATATGAGTCAAGGTAACTCAGAAAGACTACTCTAATTTAGGTGGACTACCGAGCCTTGAAAATTATGTTTCTGATACTTGAAATAAAGAGTTTAACTGTATAATTGGCAATGCAAATGAATATTATTACAGCTTTAAGGAATGTTGTGTTTCTCTGCATTCACAGGTAGCTTACTGGACTTCCTTAAAGGGGATGCAGGAAAGATGCTTCGTCTGCCACAGCTGGTAGACATGGCTGCTCAGGTAAACCCCAGAACATTAATTCAGTTTTCTTTTGTTTACGTGTGAGGAGTCTGTGTAAAGTCCTGTACGTTCCCTCAGATTGCTGCCGGGATGGCTTATGTGGAGAGGATGAACTACGTTCACAGAGACCTGCGTGCAGCAAACATCCTGGTGGGAGACAACCTGGTGTGTAAGGTGGCCGACTTTGGTCTCGCAAGACTGATTGAAGACAACGAGTACACAGCAAGGCAAGGTAAGTCATCACTACCGTCAAAGTCAAAAATTGGAACAATGTTGAATGTTGTGTTTTGAAGTGTTTCAAGTCATCTCCATTTTTTTAGGAGCCAAGTTTCCAATCAAATGGACTGCACCAGAGGCAGCGCTGTACGGCCGTTTCACCATAAAGTCAGACGTCTGGTCCTTTGGGGTGCTTCTCACAGAGCTCGCAACCAAAGGCCGAGTTCCTTATCCAGGTTAAAGCTTTGCTTAAAATCAAACTCTCCAAGACTTTCCTTGGTCAATTATCTGCGTATCCTAGTAGAAATCTTGGGGGCTGGTGTGCATCATTGGCCAAGCACCTTGCATAGGTCACCAGTCAGGCAACATAGTCACAAAGAACAAACATCCATACACACACCTGCTTTACCCAAGAACAGTTTAGAGAGACCAGTGATGTTTTTGGGCTGTGCATGAACAGGGAGAGGATAAAAACGCAAGGTCAGGATTCAAACTGATGCAGACCAAAAAAAATAACTCTGGTCCATCTGAAACCATAGGTCTCAGGTCAGATGAAGTCAGCTCTGGCTCAGTCCAAATGAATATATCAGTGCAAAGCAGACCGCACACAAAAAGCAGGAAGTGGACCAACATAGCATATGCAAGTTGTAAATAGAACCAAAACGAACACAAGAGTCTAACGCTAGCAGGAGAAATGACTTGTGATGTTTCACCAAGACTAAAGAAAAATCCTACAGCCGCTAAAATCTAAAGTCACTCCATTTTTGTTTACATTTTGTGAAAAAGGAAGTTGCGCTAAGCGTCTTCAAAGATATTTGTGCAGTTTCCTTTAGTGGTTGTTGGTACAGCGCCCCCACAGGCGAGCGAGGAACAGGTTTTTCAGTTAGTTTGGATCGAAAGCGAATTCACCGGCTCAAAATGTCACAAATGTTGATCTGTTTGATTTGGTCCCCAATCAAACAGTCTTCAAGACTGTCAGGTTTGAGAACACCCTTACAATAATCGTTCCCGATTAGAAAAGAATAACTGAATTGATCACAGTTTTAAGTGCACATAAAAGTCTCTAACATATGTTGACGCTGCAGATGGAACTAACTGAATCCATTAGACTTACTCTAAATGGGTTAAGCTTGTGGTCTTACTGTAATTAGGTGTGAGAATTCCTAAAGTGACTTCTTGTTTCTCTTTGCAGGTATGGTTAACCGAGAGGTGCTTGACCAGGTTGAGCGTGGCTACAGGATGCCTTGCCCAGCAGAGTGCCCCACTTCCTTGCATGACCTCATGCTTTCCTGCTGGAGGAAGGATCCTGAAGAAAGGCCTACATTTGAGTATCTGCAGGGCTTCCTAGAGGACTACTTCACCTCCACAGAACCCCAGTATCAACCTGGGGAGAACCTATAGAACCGCAAACTGTATCAAACCCAAATGGGGAGTGGGGCCTCAGCACTGAATGATCTGCACTAACCGACCTCAGAGGAGGATCTGAGACTGTGAAACTAATCTGTGAGGAACTTCTTCAGTGGAATCAAAACCAAGACCGAAAACTGCAGAAGTCCCTCTCTGTGCCGTACAGAAACTGCTGTGGAACAATCCGGAGAAACCGGTGTTCTGGAAGCCATCACAGTCGACCCAAGTTCTCCTGCTGGTTATTCTCCGACTCAGATCAAACGGAGAGACTTGCAGGTAAATGTTTATGTGAGGTGCAACGGATGTGAAGAGGAACCAAATCAGGACTCAGAGTCGGTGCATAAAGAACAAACTTCATGATGAAGAGAAAGAGGACAGAGAAAAAACTTCAAATTAATTATGAGCTGTTATGAGTGAACTCGCCCTTTTTCCATCTCTTCACCATCATGTCATACCTTTTCCACCCACACAAGAGCACTACCACTGTGGCTCAGGTGCCAAAGGAAAACTCCTTCTCTATATCTGCTCTGCCACTCTTCCTCTTTCTCTCCCTCTCAGTCTTTCAGTTTCTCCCCAGTTTTCTTCAAGTGCTGCTTCTTTAAAGTGTCTCAGCTCTGAATCTCTGCATCTTTATCGTTCAGTTTATTTGGCCAGCCTGTTTCCTTTGGTGGAAACATTTAATGTCAGACAAACTTGCTATGTTTGCTTTATTTTGTGTGTGTGTGTGTGTTTTTCAATAGACAAAATTGGTAAAATCCCAATCAGTGATTGCCTGGTCAGACGGGCAGGTTCTGTCACGTTAACATCAACGTAATGTTTGAGGCCTTTTTCTCCCGTTTGCTCATGCTGGTACCAAACCTCCATTAAGACGACTGATGCAGGTGGTGCCCAAATGCGTATTGTTTTGATTGATCTCAATTAGCTGGGAAAAAAAATCTCAGAGGATCAACGCTGTCAGAGGCGCGCTAACGGGCATTTTTAAAAGATTTCACAGCACAAATATCTTAGAAATTATACTTCTGTCAAGCAGTTCTGTGCGTAGGCTGACATGGGTATCTGACCAATCGTAATAGTGGTAAATATCTAACTCAACATGGGAAATCAATTTCTTGCTTATGTACATATAAGCTGTTATGCTCACAGAACAACCTTATAACATTAACTGAGTAACAGATGTTTTTTTTAATCATGCATCATTAATAAAATATGCAACTTGGAAGCCCTAAAGAAACCGGTAAACCTCTGATCAGGTAAAACTAATAAAGCTGTTTGAGTTTCTGAAGCTTATTAGCATGCTTTTGTGCTCGTCTTTTCTTGAGTATTGGTTGGTTTTTACTTAGGCTTTATATCCTTCTGTTCATTAAAAGTTCTGCTGTGATTGTGGGATCATTTACAGAGAAAATTGTCATTTTTCTGGGTCACTCCACTGCTGTACATATCGTAGCTTTTTAGGCTGGGTTTTTGCACCCCATCTTTTACTTTGCCAAGGCAGGTTTGTGTGCAGGGTGCTTCACCCTTCACTTTAGAGCAGAAGAGCTGTTTTTGTTTTGTTTTGTTTTGCTTGCAGAGTTGACATAAACCATGCAGCAATAAGACATGGAGTTCCGCCAACAGTTGCAAAACCATACCGACAATGACTAATTTCAAGAACCAGTCTGATGCTGAAACCACAGGGAAGTGGTGCGGGTTGTGATGTTACCATATGATATTAATAATAAGGTCAAAGATGTAAATATTATCTTAATCAAATGACTGTGACGATCATGTTATGTTTTTTGTGTAGCTTTTTCATTTGTTTCGCTTCTTGAGGTTTTTACACTGACACGTCTAATCAATGCTTAACTGATATTTGATGTCCTACTGTAAACAGGGCTGAAGAAAAAATATTTTTTCACTTTTTGTTTTTCAAACTTCTGTTTATATTTCAAAGGACAATTCACAATTGGGCGAGAAATCTGTGCTTTCCTTTTTTTAGACTGGGAATTACTCCACCTATGTGGACACTGAGCCGCCAGTAAGTCACTGGAGCAATGGGGAAGTAAGCAGGCTTATGACAGAATGACTAACTCTTAGGTCAGACTGGATTTTATGTGCCATATTTAAATAAAGTCTCATTCTTCCCTTTTCTTCATTATTTACTTCAATTGTTTATAAATCTATGCAGTTTCAGTCTTGCATTCCTGCAACTTCATAGCCACTTTGTTCTAAAGTCAAAATCAATGATCAATGACAGTGTGAGCATTTTGTAAGAACTTCTTTCATCTATTTTTGTTTTTATGTAACAGGATTGATATAGGTATTGTGCCACTTTATGTTGATCTTTAAATGTGCAATAAATTATATTTGAAATGTGTTTTGAAAGGGGTGTGTGCTGGTGACGGTTTACAGTTGTTTGCATGACGGAATGTCTCAGGTCAAATGTTAAGGGAATTTAACATCATGGGAAAATCACCTGTTCAGGGAACTATGTGCATTGCAAAGAAGAAGTTGGTAAAACCTGTTCCTTTCCCTAAAGGGCTGAAGTTTTTCAAAGATGAAAGCGCTTAGAACTGCGCTGAGATGAAGTGACACACCTCATCAGCTGAGATAATTCTGCCAACAACTAAATGCTTTTTCTCCTGCTATTAAGTTTTTTACTTTTCTCTTGCATGAAAAGTACTCCTACATCAGTTCTTCCATTAGTTTTTTGTACATTTGCTCTGTTTTCTCAAACCGCCAGTTGGTCATGACAGACAGCTGCTTGTCCTGAGCCAGGTTTTTGTTCTGTTGAAGGTTTCTTCCTGTTAAAGGGGAGTTTTTTGTTTTTTTTTTCCTCTCCACTGTTGCCATATGCATACTGAACTGTGAAGTGATTGTCTACTGTCACTGGATGCTTATCCAGGAGGAGTGACTGCTACAAGTTAATGATTCAATGCAATCTGCTGGGCTTGTTTTGATCAACAACTTTTAAACTGATTTGATTAATGAACTGTTTGGCTGATGGAAGAGAAGGTTTAAACTCCCTCCTTCTCTTTCTGCTCTTTGGCTCTTCTCTGAATCCCTGTAACCTAATTTTCAACTCCCCTGGGATTGGAGGTCATAGATTATATTATTTGAGCTTTTGAGATACCAATCAGCTGTTCCTAGTTATAAAAGCATTATCTTGTTGCCATGGTTGCACATATTATTGATGTGCAACAATAAAATCTGTACATGTGTTTTGACCGGATTAAATCTTCATCAAAATCTTTAGCATCCAAGGGAACATGTAATTACTGTAAACCAGGCAGTTTGATCAGCCAGATGAAGGCTCAACAACTTTATATGAAACATTTGACTGAAGATAATTCAACTGATGCTCATTTTAGCATTTTTTTATGCATTCAATATGTGTTTAAGGCCATGATATTATCTTTTCTGACGTTTTGATGACAATAAAAACAACTGGACAGATGACGGAAAGTTAAAAAAAAAAAAAAGTGGCTCTTGCAGGTCCCGCCATGTTTGACTGAAAGCAGATTTGTCCACTTGGGGGCAGTATTTGTCAGTACTAAGGAGCCTTTGCTGTTCAGGCAGCACCAGCTTGTGGCCCACCTGCTTCGCGGCATCCTCTGATTCAATTCACCAAACTTTGAGCAGATGCACTGCAGTGAAATGTGCATTTCTCATAAAATGATACTTGTGGGACTTCCACTTAAAATTCAAGATGTGAGCCCTGAGTTCACTTTTTCTTTTGCTCAATGTTGAAGGTCCTGAAGCCGACTGCAGAGGCTAATCGATCACGGATGACTTCTTCTGATAATGGCTTTAATCAGAGGCCATATTTAACCAGCTGGCTGCAGAAGTTCTGCCATTAATGACCCTCTACTATTTTGCTTTTTCCACACTGCTGTGATTAGCAGCAAATTGTTGATCATGTGCCTTATTTCCAACAGTTCACCATGTATTATAAAGTTGGGATGTTTATATAGAGCCAGAGCCAAAAAGAGATTAACAGCTGATAACTTTTCCGCATCCCCCTGCGTGTGTATATTTTAGCTTTCTCACAGTTATGCATATCTGTATCCATGAATGCAAAGGCATGTTTGAGCACATGCAGCATATCAATGTGTGTGTGCGTGTGTGTCTTTCTGGCTGTTGCTTTTCCCATCTGCTGAGCTGCACTGAGAGCCATTTATCTCAGTTATCCAGACAGTGTCAGAGCTCCATCTGTGAAAAGAGTAAACACACTGACTCACACTTTTTAAGAGACTACCACTGATACCAGACAAGAGAGCACGGCAGAATCTACAGTGACTACACATTCACCCGCACACACAGGGCTACAGTTTCTGTTTGTTTTCATCTCATTAGAGTGACAGAAGCATGGCAACCTCACAGAGGAGCAGGATAATAGTCATGTTTTGTCATGTTTTTTTTTCCTCTGCTAATGGTCCAGATTGTTGCTTTCTTGCAAACCGTCCCAAGTGAGTCTGCAGAACGTTGGAGAATATGAAGATATCTGAGCTGCTTGCTTTCGGAAGCGCTTAACCTTGAGATACTTTGTAAAGAATGAGCATGAATGACTGAATTTTGCTATGTTGATGTGCAAAAGTATCACAAATGTCTTGCAGTTCTATTTGCAGCAAAAAAAAAACATACTTAAAAACCCTTTTGTCATTTTCTTTTTACAAATTTTTGTTGCTCTAACGTTAAAAACCTAAAACACATTGATGTGTGTATTGGTAATCTGACAAAAACAGAAAAACAATAGAGGGTATCAATACTTCTGTAAGGCACTGGATGGAGCATTTTAAACCAGCAGTGGAGAGCAGATTAATATCCTGCAAATTTATTATTCCAAACTTAAAGCAAACAAAATGTAAAATCATGGGACAGCTGCGCCCTAAGCTGCATGACATCACATAGAAATTTGTGGTGAAAGAATCATAAAAGAAAAGAACCAATACTTTGTTTTATTTTCCTCTCAAATTACTGAAAGACTCGGTTAACAGATTGAGAAAAACACATGTGGTTACATATATTTTTTACTTGTTACTCAGGGAAATGCCTACAACTGGAATGAGCTGTGATGCAAGCAGATAATAAATAATTTCACATCTGGCCCAAAGCTGAAAGCAAGACAAAAGGAACTATCTTACAGTATGAGGTTTGATTTCAGACAAAACAGGACAGTTTTCATTTCATCTACAGAAAGGATCATTTCTAGCATCCATTCTTCTGGTGGTGGCAAGATATATCAGATTTTAAAATTTAAATTTAAATTTTAAATACCTCTTTGTTATTCCTGTTTTTGTTCAACCAAGTGCAGCCACTCAAAACACAGATAGCTGCTGCAAAAAGGAAATCATGATGTTATGATCTTTTTATAGATTTAAAAAATATACATTCTGGCAGATCACAGACATTTCATTAGGACTCTTTAATCACATTAAATCACAAAAAGTTTCAAGATGGCACCTTGCTTGTATCTGTTTGGGGTCACAAAATATCAGTCCAAGGGTCACAAATGGCCCCCGGGCCACACTTTGAACACCTGCTTTAGAAAATCAGTTAATAAACTCTGTCATCTGACTGAAAACATATGATCACAAAGATGTAATGTTTATTTTGAAATCATCATCATCATCATTCTGTATTTTTTTTTTAACAGTTCCTCTCCTGTTTTGTTTACCCACCTCTGATCTTTACTCCCCTAATCTGTCTTCCTCTTCTATCCTCTTGGTATTAGGTGAGATATTCTTCATGTGGAACCAGAACAGTCACTTCAGGAGGTAGACACACATGTTCTCCATCATCAACTGACTTCAAACACCAGGTAGATCATTCAGCTGCGTGTGCGAACAATCCCTGGAGTTTCTTTTGTGCACTTAATGACTCGGTCAGACTCTGCACAGCTTGTGAACAGTAACAGGATATTCTTCTTGATATCAGAGGATGAACAGGTGTGCAGATGGGGACCAAACTTTAATCAGTCGTCCTTTGTTGTTGATCCGTTTGTATCTCAACCTGCATTACAACCTTACATTTTCCTTGCCAAGTTGCCCCGGGTGTGCGGAGATCTTTGTGGCACAAAGTTTTGCCCTGAAGTTATTAATGATTACAGTCAAGTTGGCAGGAGTTTTATTTAAAAAATATTTTTCTCAAGCTAAGCTCTATCGTGACAGCAAGAGCCGTGTTAGGATGGTTATTATGAGAAGCATGAAAACCTCTGCAAACATCTTCAAGAAACCTCAACATATGTGCCGCTTTTTCTGGTGTTTTTGATGACAGACTGAACAGAGAACTTAATCTCTCCTCAAAGGAGCTTCTATGTGTAATCTGACACTCTTCCATCCCTTTTCAATGGATTCTCTTTGCAGATTTAAAACCAAAGAAGTACAGCAAATAGTCTTCCTGTTTGAGATAATCTGTTTTCCTGGTTGCTAGGCAAACCTCAGTCTTTGCTCTTATTTTGTCAGCACAGTTAGGAACAGACGATGGAAATGTGCACGTGCTGTAATATGTGTTGTACTGTTATATTCCTATTACTTCAAGCACTTCTGAGATTGAATCTGGTAAAATATCAAATGTCTTAGAGAATATAAACAACTTTCTAAATCAGTTAGACTAAATAATTGTGTCACCTCAGCATATTTCACTTGCAAGCTGTCGCTGTGTTGTTGCCATGAATGGAAGCAGATAAAAGTCTAACTTTCTTACACATATACAGTTTTAAGAAAGAGGTTATTAATTTAATTTCATAAAGCAGTCAGCAAGCATCATCAGACAATATTAATCCATTAGAAAGCACATAAAAAGCAATAAATAGGATAAAAATAAGATAAAATAACACTTTCTCTAGAGCTATCTAATGTTGCAATGACATTTACTGTAGGGTATACTTCATCAGCATGTGGTATCCATATAAGAATCATTTGTTTAAGTGATAAAAAAATGTTTGCTATTTCCTACTGCAAATTTTAACAATAGATCTTGCGTGGTAACTAATATGACACTCATCCAACGTAAGGTAGATATTCAGGAATTATTTATTAATCCACATTAAATTTTTCTACTTTTACTGGTAAACTCAACTAACTGTATACCCGATATATACATTTATAAACTCTAGAAATACTAACTGCTACGATCAAAAAGCTAAAATATAAGACTAAAAGTGTGGGTTTCTATAATAAAAATCAAAGTCAAAATGTCAATCAAGTTCAACAAGGCTTAGCTATTTGAAAAATAAATTCATGCTGAATGTTAAGCTGTAAAAATGCCTCAAAACAACAACTTAACAAAATGTGTAACACAATAAGTCCAGCAGCAAGTTCAATTCTCACCTCTGTCATGGTAAATATGCTTTGTGACGTTACACAGAATGTGGCA